GATAAGTTCAAAGACGATATCAAATCAATAACAATGACTATCGGCAGCTGTCATTTAGCTGTCAACAATTCTTCAAAGTCCGGTAATAAAGTCAAAAAATTATTTTTTGTTTATAACTTCAAGTTTTTTAGATAAGTGAATATAAATATGATATAAAATTATGTAGTCATCAGCTTACAGCTGTCAACAAGCTGTCAACTAACTGTCAAAATGCAATAATAGAGCAAGTAACTTATTTTTTGTGCTTAACTTTGTGGATAAGAAATCAAACATGATATAAGTTTATGACATCACTTTTGAACTCAGTGATCTAAGCAACTTAAAGCTTTTTAAAAAAAGTAACTTTTTGACTTTATTATTGCATTTTGACAGTTAGTTGACAGCTTGTTGACAGCTGTAAGCTGATGACTACATAATTTTATATCATATTTATATTCACTTATCTAAAAAACTTGAAGTTATAAACAAAAAATAATTTTTTGACTTTATTACCGGACTTTGAAGAATTGTTGACAGCTAAATGACAGCTGCCGATAGTCATTGTTATTGATTTGATATCGTCTTTGAACTTATCGAACTAAAAAAAAAGAAAGATAAAACATAAAAAAACAAGTTTTTGGCTTTATTATAGCACATTGACAGCTATTTGACAGCTGCCAACTGTCAATTTTGAAAATCTAACAACAGATCTGAATTCAGCAACCTCAAAAATATAAACCTAGATAATAAAAAAAATGAAATAGGCTATTTCAAAAGTCTATACACACTGCGCATATACATAAATCCGTGGAGGATATTCGGAGCTTTAAAGCTCTGTACCGGCCAAACTATCCATTTTTGAGCTTTGTGGCCATTGAGACAATTGACCAGTATGATGAACTCTATCACATATCAAAAATTCAGCGAATTTGACTGGTACTCAATTTTCATAAGATTTGTGCGGGGTCCTTTAGAGAAAATACAAGGTTTTTACTAGTATCTGGAGAACCCTAATTCCGATTTTTTTCAAATTTGGTATGTTTGTTTATAAAAACGGTAGACGTCTTCTGACGTAATTTGATTTATTTTATCAATTCCAGCGGCGTCCGGGGTCTCACTCCTATTGATATTAATAAGAAAACATATGAGACGTCACTGCTTTTTCTTAGGTGTCATATGTTTTCTAATTATGCGATTAAATATACAATTTTTTTGTCTCTTTACTTTTTTTGATATCTTGCTTCGTTTTCGACCAAATTTCAAAAATATCGGAATTAGGGTTCTCCAGATATTAGTAAAGACGTTGTATTTTCTCTAAATTTCAACACCCTGTATCTCCAAAACGAAGCATTTCCGGACATAGGTTTACAGGAACTTTCTTTCTTATTTTTGGTCAAGGAAACTCCCCCTGAATTTTCTTGCAATATTAATGAGACACCCAGTATATGTATAACAGCACTATTTTAGCTGGTATACCTTACAGGGTGTTACAAACTGGACAAAAAACTTTCATGCACCCTGCATGTGCTGAAAACCGAAATGTCAATAAAAATATCCACTTCCACTAAATCATCTGCCTTACAAGCAATACAAGCGTCAATAACAAAGAATGTATCCCCACTTTTTATTTATGTATAAATTTAATTTGCGCCTATAAGATAAAACAGTGACAGCTCAACAATAAGAATTAAAACATGAACTACCAAATACTTTTAGTAATGATCTTAGTAACGCCAATGCTACTTTTTTTCGAGAAGGTTCAATGTCAAGATTGTACGCCTAACTTTTGTGATGAAGTTAAAGTAAGATGCAGAGAAGTTATCTGTGGGGATGGTCAAATTTTTCACAGAAGAGGAGGGGGGTTGTGTGGATGCTGCCCAATTTGTACCAATGAATTAGTTGAACATAAAAAATAAGTTTCAGATAGGTAGGTAGTGATTATAAATATATATTAGACAAAAATTATACACACAAAGCTGTTAATATTATCTTCATTTCAAATTGCCTTTCATAATCATCATAATTAGTATTTAACCTTCCTTCTTAATTACATCACTTCTTAAGATAATTATTGACGTCACAATTTACAAATAAAATGGTAAATCCCAACTAATTGGTATATAAGTAGCTATCTGTTGCGTCAACTAGTGTACACCGTATATATTGTCACTGGTGCCACTATAACAATACTTGACTTACACTTCGTCTTCACAAAGATGTCAAGGATACAGTTCTGTATAGTTTTGTGTGCACTACTTCTGGTAGTGCTACCTACAGCGTACTCTGACGAAGAATGTAGCCCTAATTATTGCGACAATAAAAGGTTCAAGTGCATACCAGCCGATTGCGGACCAAATGAAGTTAGTTTGATTAAGCCAGAGCTGTGTAGATGCTGTCCGGCTTGTTATCCTCAGTAAGTTACCCTGAATTGAGTTTTTGCTTTGAATATAGAAACAGTACTTACCTATTTTATATTATTTTGTTTCAGATGATATTGGGCCGTCTGGAGAAAGAACAATATTATTTACAGCTTCTATTAGGTACTGGTTATCATAATAAAAAGAATAAAAACCTTTCCTTATATCTTATTATTATCGTTGATATTTGAAAAATAGTGACGGACGTCATTTAACAACCCTACCTTTTCTTTCCACAAAAAGTCAAATGATTCCTCCTCACATTTTTTCACATTTACCTTATTCTCGTTTTAAACGAAAATCGTATTTATTATAATTATTTTGAACTAACTTTCCGTTCTATTTGCGGAACTTTATTATGTAGAATTTTGGTAATTTCTGCGTAATCAAATAATAAAATAATAGTTGTTTCACAAAGAATACGATAAATTTAAAAATAACGAGCGTTCAAATAAAAACGTGGTCAAGTTGGTTCTGAAAATTTGGACGTAGGGCGTAGCGTATAGCAAATGAACTTAAACGTCATCTGTCAAAGCGCTATATCGCCGCTATCAATTTGAATATTTTCGTTTTAAAACGCGTTTAAAATGGTGTTTTCTCATGAACAAAAAGTGTTTATCATAGAATCCTACTTTAGAAATGGACGCAAGATTGATGGAATATGGAAGTATTCTATTGAGGAATGTTTCATAGAATTTCAAAATCAATTTCCCGACGATGTCGAGTACAAAATTTTTCAAAGTGCAGTTCAGCGTTGTGTTAATGTTTTTCGTGAAACGGGCAGTGTAACAAGAAAAGAAGGAAGCGGCCGACCTAAAAAGCGGACTGAAGAATTAAAAGAAAATGTCCAACAAATAATGGAAAATGCGCCAAGAACTTCTGTACGTGTTTTATCACAAATGGTGGGAGTATCAGTCGGTACCTGCCACACAGTGTTAAAAAAAGATTTGCGTTTGTTCTCCTATCGTTTAACTTGTCAGCAAGAACTTCATGAAGTTGATTTTCCGCGACGGGCTGTATTTTGTTAATGGTTTTTAAACAACTACGGTGAACTTCATAATATCACCTTTTTTTCTGATGAAGCCTGGTTTCATTTAAGTGGTTACGTAAACTTACAGAATATGAGAATGTGGTCTTCTGAAAAACCAGATAACATTTTTTGTCGAGGGCCCTCTACTCGCTCAAAAAATTGGAGTTTATGGTGTGCTCTCAATCGAAGGAGGATTTATGGACCTATTTTTTTTAATGGTACTCTTACTGCGCAAAGGTATAGAGAAGAAATTATCGCTCCTTTTGTTAACCAGCTGGAAGAAAACGAAATTACAAACTTTTACTTTCAACAAGATGGCGCAAGGGCACATACGGCAGGCGCGACGATGAATATGTTGAGGGAAGTTTTCCAAAATCGACTAATAAGTCTCAATGCTGAACATGAATTTCCACCGAGGTCATGTGATATTACGCCGTGTGATTTCTTTTTGTGGCCTTACCTTAAAAACACTATTTTTGAACTGCCTATTCCTGATTTAAACCATCTGTATGCTCGACTTATAGACAAGATTCGTGAAATTAACAATACCCCGAGCATCTTAGAAAATTTAAATTTAATTCTTTGAGGAACAGGTGTGAAAAGTGCTTGGAACAAGGAGGGGGACACTTTCAGCAGCTGCTTTAATTTATTGTTATAACAAGGAGGGGGACACTTTCCGCAGCTCCTTTAATTGTTTGTTATTGTTATCACGATTATTCTTTAAAATAAAGTTATATAGTCATTAACGTTATTGAAACTGACAGCTGCTATACAGCTCGTTGAGAAATGAGGTTAAGTTGGTCGCTATAAGCTACTCCCTACGTCCAATGTGTCAGAGCCAACTTCGACCACGTTTTTATTTGAACGCTCGTTATACCTAACTCCGCCATCTTGGATTTTTCAGCATTAATGTGTACAAAAATGTATAGATGGCGCCACAGTTGGAGATATATTGATTGTACTATTTTCCATATTTTTTAACGTTTTTAAACGTATTGAAGGTAATTTTTCTACAATTAAAGTTAATTGATGTAACATTTGATGTAAAAAAGTTTTGTACCCTCTTCTTTTGGACAAAAATTAAAATTGATTGAGTTACTATGTTTTAATTTCCCGAGATCACAGCTAATCCCAATTATTTAGAAAACTAATTAATCAATTAAGTGAGATTAACTGTCCTACGTAAATAAAACACAGCTGTAACATAAATTAATTGTTATTACTCATTTCTTTCATCTATTTCTGATCCTAAACACCTAGTTCCACTCTAGGAAAATAATACTAATAATAGATGGCTCTGCACAGTTGCGTTGACATCAATTTACAGAGAAAGACAACCTCTCATTTGTTTTGTCTATGGGGCCTCACGCATGATATTTTAAATTGCTAGCAATGGCACATATTTTTTTTAATTATATTTTAAATATTATCGATAAAAGAACGATTTCTCCCCACTTCTAATTTGCATATACTTTATAGCTTATTCTGCGAGTATATAAGGTGACTATTATGTAGAATTACCTACAGTTGATAGTAAATTTTAAACATGACAAATAAAACAACAATAACAACAGCTATCTTGCTGATGGCTATGATGTTTGTTTTAAAAGAGGTGCAATGTCAAAACTGTTCACCCTTTTTCTGCGACATAGTGAAAATTAAATGCCAAGGAGTTGAATGTGGACCTGATCAAGTTTATTATAGAAGAGGAGGTGGACCGTGTGGATGCTGCTCCATCTGTGTTAGTAAGTTAGCGAAAAAAAAATTGATAAATGCAGATACCTACTTCTTTACCGATGAAAATTGACCAAACTAGATGTTTTTGTTTTTTCATCAGAGCCACTTCTAATTTAATCAGTTTTTTGGAAACAATGGCTGTTTTCTTCCCCTGAACAGTTAACATATTATTGAGGCTTATCCCTTCTTACACCATGGTCTACAATTATAGTTTAAATTTGTGTTTTATTTATTTTTTTTTGAAACTTAATGGTCCATTACACTAATAGCTACAACCATACATAATTTAGGGATCTTTGCCAAAATATAGTAGAAAAAGTATTTTTGTGCGTCGATCTAATTGTGCGATCTTAATTATTTGACAGCACCACTGCCAACTCAAGTATGTAATCCTCACTTCTGTGATAACATAAGGCCGTACTGTATGGCAGTCACTTGCGGGCCCGGTGAAGTTGCTTTAATTAAACCTGAACTATGTCGATGCTGCCCAGCTTGTTATCCTGGTAAGTGAATATTTTTTCTGGACGAATGTTAAGAGTTTCATCACAAAATACCCATATATGAATAAAAACTGTTACTGAAATGTGAACTGAACTAAATGTTTCTAATGATCCAGGTCAATGTATCGAATTTGAAAACTGTTCATTTTTTTAATGAATACGAAACATTACCTACTTACTTACTATTTCTCGTCAATGCATAGCGTAATTAAATATCATAATAATTTTTTAGATATTCTAATTATTAACTTAACTCTGTTTCAGATGAAAAGACGGTGTATTAGGGTTAAGAATAAAATACGACGTGCACTCTGCAGGATATTTCAACTTCAATTACAAGTAATGTAAACTATAGATATCAATGTATGTATTCTACAGTGCAATGATAAACAATGTTTATTATAATGTAATAATAAAAATATAATTTTGATCTTTATGTATGTTTTACTTTGTAACTGAAATTACACAAACTGGAAAAGATAGGTGTGTAGTGTTATACTATGGTAATACAAATTTTTGGGTGAATATTTGTAATTTAATAAATGAAAACAGGATTATTCGCAGACTCATTGAAATCTATGTTTAAATAGCAGCAACATATATCTTATTATATCAGTGGTCTTCTTTTAAATATTTTATGGAGAAAAATGGTTCTTTTGTATCATAAATTAAGACTGAAATTGTAAGAACATTTATTCAAATTAAACATATTACTAGAGACTGTTTAGAAAAACGAATTCAGGAAGCAAATATATTGCTTTAACTTTTCACTTCACTTTCCAATTATTTCTCGAAGAAACAGCGATATGTAAAAAATACATGTTTGTAAAAATTAAGTGAAATTTCGTTTTTTTAGTCTATATCAGTAAAAAATTGTGATAAAGTAGGTACAGAAAGTTTTTTCAGAAAACATAAAACGAGTTTTCAGTCAAGAAAGCTTTAAACTCTGAAACTTTGTTAATAGCTGCCCTGTATACAGGATGTTACAAATTCGCTTCTCGCTACAGGGATCTCGGAAACGGTAAGAGGTACTAAGTAGCTTAAATGGGGACAAAGTTGCGTAATCAGGGGACCAACATTATGCCTCTAAAAAATCAAGGCTAACATGATTAGTTTTCGAAATATTGGAATAAAACGAAGTTTTGGAAATCCGTTTTTGTTTAATTTCAACCTTATTTGAGGTAATATGGAAAAAAAAAGAACACTTTCTTGTAGCCAATTTTTGCCGCCTATCGAATGACAATCAATTTTTATATGTAACGTTTTGTCTCTCCAGGACCATCATCAACTTCATTTTTTAAATACGACCCTAGAAATTTTATTACATTTTTTGCAAGCCCTCATGACCCCCAATACTGTACTGCCTCAGCTCGAACCAGATTCAGACGTTTTGTCTCGAAAAATTCATCTTCAGTGTATTCGTTCCAAATTTATCAAAAGTTTGTATTAAGATTTCTTTGTTTATTGAATTATCGTACACTGTAAGTGTCGTTAGAACCTGTGAAATTCATCTAGTTGTTTAAACTAATACCACCACGCCTTAAAATAAAAAATTATTAGAATTTTATTCCCGTGTTCATAGTTATTCCTAGGCTTCTGGAGTGCTCAAAATTCAAACAAATTCTAATCTATTGTTATACATATTCATACAAATACATCTGACATGCTCTTTCACAGTTGCAGTTACAGATATAATAAATTCCGATAATATTACGCTGATCTTCATTTTTAACCTTTGCCAAAACCGAAAATATTTTTGAACATTTACTGAAATTTTTTAAAGAAGAACATTCAGTTGGCGTTTTGGTTGTTCATATGCATTTTTAAAAATTGATTTGTCATAATAAAATTAAAATTGTAATGTTTTAATTTTGACGCAACAACTAATTGAGTTATGTATGACCAAGTGATGGTAATAGTTAATAATAATAAATGTTTTATTGTAACGCGTGGTAGTGATAGTTTAAATAACTAGATGGATTTCACAGGGTCTAACGCCACTTACAGTGTACAAAAATTCAATAAACAAAGAAATCTAAATACAAAATTTATTTAAGACTAAAATGAACAGACTCCTAAAAATTATGAATTTAAAAATACTCTGATTTAGATGAGTCCACTATCTACTACTGCCGACATTAAATTACCTTTAAATTTTTAAGCAATTAAATGTTATCCTTATTTTTTAAATATTTGCCTCGTGACTTTGTACTCTTATAAAATTTTATGTCAGTCGACAACAAAAGTTAATACTAATTTAACTTCTTATTGTACATGCCTTAAATATTATTCGTGACTACACAAACACTATATATTTATTAACTTTGCACAATTCCGCCAGTTTTCCACTGGTTTTAGAGCTAATACTTTATTTATAACTGTTATCGCTACACGATGCCGTTAAAAGCGCGACTTTGTATGATTTTGTGGGCATTATTTTTGATTACGTCTACGGCAGCGTCACGGTGCCCTTCAGATTTCTGCGATTATATACAGGTTAGATGTTTGGAAGTTGTCTGCAATCCCAATGAGATTCCTCTCATTATACCAGAACTATGCAGATGCTGCCCAAACTGTTATCCTATCATTAAAGGTACAATAATTTTAAATTTAATTATCTTATTACCGTTTTTTTATATTTCTAGCTCTCTTGTATTTTAGGAACTTTTCATTTGTAATGCTAATACATTCATATGTTGGTCACATATATTAGCGTTTCATTAAATTAATGTTACAATATTGTTACTACATAATATATTATGACATTTTATGCTATCACAGGTCTGTTGAAGATACAATATATACGAAGAAATCTATGTGGATATACAAGGTCAGATATAAAATAACATAGGTACATACCTAACTTGATCCCTAGGGAGAGGGAGAGTAAAAAGGCTTCAGCCTTCACCCGTTCTAGAAGAACATCCCCGGTAAATACATACAAGTCTACATTTTCGAGACATTATAGTCACGTAAATGATGTCACAAACACAGGCAATCTATTTAAAAGACAGGAAACACAATATTATCCATATATAACACTAAAAAACATAAATCACAATTGGAAGTCAGGATAAAATGTAAAATATGTATACACGTACAAAAAGTAAGGTTAATATTATGTTGTTAGATTTAGAGGTTAAGTGAAATTCAGGAAATACTACTTATACGACGCCTGCGGACTCAAATTTGGTCGGCGGGAAGTTGAATTGCCGCTTCTGTTATTCTATTCAGTGACGACCCGCGAAACCATGGATGCGAAACGCTCATCAAATTTTAAAAAACTGCATACACTTGAATTTTCGAGTCGTTAATAGATAGCACCACAAACTTAAAATGGATCACCTTGATTGAGATATAATTTTTCCTCAAACCACAAAACTAAGAGAAAACCCAGACTATCAGTATTTATACGGCAGGTCTGCAGTTGTGTAGTGTTGAACATTGTATGAAAAAGTTCTTGTTTATTTTATATTCGCATCACTTTACAGGCATATAAAAGCTGATCTTTAATTGGCGTTTTTTGTTTCAGGTTAAAAAAAGAGGGTGCCTTGAATTATTCAGTTTGGATTATTAGAAAACCAATTTTTACAATAATCAAACAATAATATACTTGTAAATGATCAATAAAACATATAAGAAAATCGTATAATTTTTATATGAGCTTATACTGAAGTTTGAACGTACGCGCCATTATTCCACGGCTAGAAATTGGCCTCAATGATTTGGGATCGAGGGGGATTGGGGATTATCCCTCTTTATCCTGAAACCGAAACGCATTATAAAGAATCGATCACGTTCTAAACATATTATTTAGAATTTAGAAGTAGGTACAGTGGATTATTATCGGTACTGTGGATTCGTGAATGCGATGAAATTTTTAAATTTGTTGGATAACTCGTTTCTTTGCACCGTTTCAAGCGAAACTGATATAGTTACTACTTTGTTTCAAATATAATTTAAAAAATCATAGAGGATATATATACAACAGAAAATAAAGAATATATACAGATTTATACAAACACTGTCATGTTGTAAGAAGTGGATTAAGCACATGTGCAAAAAAACATCAGTAGCCATCACGTCGGTACTGATTTGTATTTTACTGTGCCCATAACTTGAACTAGGTGCCACTGATTTTTATAAGCTACGCTTATACGCTATCAGATCCAGAACTCAAAGTTATAGTTGGCGCGTGCCCACTGATTTTGATGATTTTACTATAGGTCTATGACTGACCCGTGAACACATGCCTAAATTTCAATGGTCGATGTTTCCTACCAATTCTGTGGGTCTATGTTTATTTATTTATTATTTATCAGTGAACGTTGACAACTTAAAAATAAGGTTAACATTCAAGATTTAAATCATATGAACAGATAAATAGTACATTGCTGATAAATTTTAGATAGGTATTCAGTATCGATTTATATTGTTGCAAAATTTTTTTTTGAAGATGAAAGTGTTTGTATTTGTCTTAATATTAGTGTTTATTAACATTTGCCTTTGCTCCGGTGACAATAAAATAGTAAGAGCTAGATTAGAGGTAAATAAGTTTATATTATCATTTATACTGTACCTTATGTTTAACTATTAATTTTCTGTTACAATGAAATTATTTTACGTTTTAGAGCTGTCCGGGTTGTTCTCTGAACCGATTACCGGAAGTGAGGAGTTTCTTTTACGAGGACGTCCCGAAATATGAAAACGTAGAATGGAAAAAAATTTCCGGAGCTCCTCCAGAAGTGATTTTTCTAAATGAGGCCGACGAGGAGGTAGAGCGACATTTACTAGGCCGTCTTAATCGAGAAGAGTGTAACGAATTACTTCAAAGTAAAGGATTCAAACTTTCTAAGGATAAAGAATTGTAAATATTCCCCAAAGGGTATTAAGTAGGTCTTACAATAATTCGTAAATTTATGTTACTTATTATGTGATGAATAATAAAACTTACTAATATAAATTGCTGAACATATTTTTTATTACACCTAAATTGTGGTAAGTTGTGGAACTCTGAAAAATGTTTTAAATAATGTTTGAAATCAATGCTCGAACCTTGGAATTATAATTTTTATAGCGACTGCTGAAAAATCTTGCATTTTCTTGTAAAATTCCACTTTCTTAAAAAAATCCAGTACATAGATATAAAAATAATTTAAAGGCAGAAAAATCGTACTGTTTCGGTAAGGAAAAATTAACGGTTTAAAAAAAACAGACTATTTTTAAATCTATATATTTACAAATAGTTAACATATCTTACTACTGTTGAGACAATTTTAAACCAGATTTTCCTATATTTATATGTATAATCGCTTAACGCAGCATTTCCTATAGAAATCTAGATGAAATTCCATTTAATATTAATTTATAGGAAGTATAGGGTAAACAGTTTATATATATAAACATGTTACAAATTTTCATAGATATTAAACAACAGTCTTATTTCGAATTAACATTTTTAATTTTACAAAAATATCTTCAGTAAATAAATTACTCTTGTAGTTTATACGCAAATGATTCTTTTAGCACTGCAAGGAATCTCATATGGTAGTCCAAATTAATAACTAGAAGCCTCCAAAAGTCCTATAACATTTTAATTTCAACGTTATCAGTGTTAAGATTTTTTCAAGCCACCACTAAACACCACAACTATAAAATCTATTACTTTTATCGTATTAAAAATTAGGCCATCATTAGCCAAGCGATGAAAAGAATCGCTAACCAGAGGAATATTTTAGACAGAAATTGTTCTTCCATGTGTTGCTGCGTACCCCGAGGCGCAGCGCTTGGCCTCGGGTCTCCAAAATTCAGTGTGGACGTGAAAAATCCAAACGGGAACGCCCCTATTCCAAAGGACATGTGGAAACCATTATCGCCAAACCCAAAACCTGAAAAAAAATAAATTTTGTTGCTGTTTCATTTTAATCAAAAGCATGACCTCATTCCTAAAATCCAAAATTACAGTTTTTTAATTTTTAATATACAATGAATTATTTGATACCTGGAAAACTCGTCCCTGGTTCGGGCTCAGTCCTCTGACCAGCGGGACGTGGGGGCACCTTTTCCCTAGGATCTTCCTGTTTGGTACTTCCCCTGCCATACAAAGGTACCACCTTTTCTTTACTAATCGCGGCCTTACAAACGGGGCATACCTGCCTATTTGGTCTCGTTTCTAACCACTGGTGTAAGCAAGGCCAGCTAAAAGGAATTTAAGAGTATTAGTTACGCACCACCGACAGTTTAGTTAAAATCAAATGTAGTAAATTTCAGTTCAAAAATATTGTTACCAAAATAGATGTCCACACATACTAACAACGGCATCTCTTGCTGTGTCCAGGCAGATATTGCATTCGAACATTTGATCGTCCTTTTTCTCTTCATTTTTGGTGTCAGAGTTATTACCTCCACTACCACTGGCATCGTTGACGCTCTCCGCGGCACTCGAAGCCATATCGCAAATTTTATCGCGTGATCGGAATGTTCTAGTTATAATATATATAAATATTTTGATGTTTGGTCAATTATGAAAGTTGTCTAAAACTGACGTGGCTAATTTATTATTAATGAAACGTTTAACGATTTCCGTTTCGATGGACGAAAACAAGTAACTCTGTCAATATGTTTACAACACTTACAATTTAAAACGCAAGAATCATGTAAAGTGATCACGAAAGAAAATATGTGTCGAGATTAACCTGATAATTATTAGAAACGTCAATTCAATGTCATATCAGATGACATTTACAAATATCTGAAGGAAAATAAAAATTAATTATCCGAATCGTTTAAAAACCGAAAGCGGAAACTGATTATATATTCCATTTCAACGAAATAAAATACTTGTCAAATACCGATTCTAAATATTTTCAAACATTCTAATATTTTAAACGTGTTTTATATTTTACATGTTAACTATTCGATTGTTCGGATAAATTATGCTTAGGTATTTCCTGATTTCCTAATGCTCTCCAAAAATATCAATAGATGTCGCCATAACTCAACCATATTTTTATTTTATATGGAAAAGCACCAATATCACAAAATTATATTCAATTAAATTTGTTTCATTATTTAATTATTTTTTTGTAATAATTTTCACAATTACGCTTATTATTCTGTATAAAATGTAAATCAATCTTATGCGGTCATGTGGGTTGCCTACGTTTAGGAGTTTTAGCGTGACAGATATCTTAACCTAATTTCTGCTTGGATTTTATCGACCATTTCCTAAAATTTTCATGTTGCTTATCGAAAAGGACATAACCTCTACGCGTTGTGTAAATAAATGTGAATTGTTGATATGTGTCGTTTAAAGAATGTTCTTATTATGTTTCTGAAGGATATAATTTGGTAATATAAACTAGCACAGTGTACTTTATAATGGCTGTGACCAGTTGGAGGCTTAGGCGTCAAAACATACGATCCGGCAGGTTCAGGTCAAGTAAGTCAATTTAATGTGTCATCATTCCATTTTTGGTACATTATATTAACGTTTTAGCCAAACAGAACAAACAGGAAGATGTATTGTCAACATTATTAAATAAGGGTACGTAAGAGTACATTAACTACTTTGGTATCTCTTTACGTATTTAGAAATACTTAATTTTCTTATAGATCCCCATGACAGCTTCAGACAGATTTTAGGGAAAATTACCGAGTGCGGGGTAGAAGAAGAGGTACTCTTCAATTACCTCAATGCTTTTGTAAAGCTGACTCTTCATTATGAGGATAACTTGGAGAAAATACGGTATCATACTGAAGATCTGTTGCTGTGGTTAGTTTTTAAAAATTGTGACTTACAATTCACATATGTGAAATTCTTGTATTACTTGTAGCCTAAGGATATCTTTAACACACGAATCGAGCCAAATAAGGACAGCTGGACTGCGATGTATACGACATGTGCTTAAAAATGAAAATGATGTTGTACAGTTAAATAAGTTATTAATTCCTTATTTATTAGCAAGGTAAATTCTAAGATATATAATTTGTAGCAGAAATAAAATTCAATTTTTAGGTCGTTGGATCTCGTTTTAAAAAACGATGTGGAGCGGATCGAGGCCATGAAGCTTATGAGGAAGTGTTTAATCATCGCACCGTCTAAATTTAGCATCTCGATGGTCAGAAGTTTGATATCTCTCGCAAACGATGGTGCAGAAGCAAAGGATAGGCTGTTACGCATATGTCTGGCTACGCTGTCGGAACTAGGTATTATTAATTATCAGGTTTTTCGCTTGTGTAATTGCATATTCTTTAAATAATCTATCTGATTTTTTATTGCAGGTGTGTTGAATTCAAAATTATTCATCGTGTCTGGGGGAGTTACGGCTATATCGAGAAATTTGTTAGAATGCCAAACCCCTAAAATCGCGGAGTCCCTGTGTGGCGTACTTCTGTTGTTATTGGATAAGCCGTCGACGAGAAATTACGCAGCTATCGATTTGCACAGTGTCGCAGCTCCGTTCTGTGATTTCCATTATAAACACGGCTGGAAGGATAAAAGCAGGTAAGGATCTGGCTTAATTTTACACGGGATCCTACCTTTGACCTTTAGAAACGTGTATCATAAATTTATTTTCTCCAATTCAATCTTGAAAGCAGAATTTTTTATTTTCAACCTTTTTTTTCGTATTTTCCGTTACTAGAGAGCCTAGTGTAATGTCAAAGAACCACAAGCCCTATCTTGTTGAGAGCATGCATTGTTGTCAAATCTAAATTTTCTTAATTCGTGTACATCTAGCAGAAATTTAACAATGAAGACACACAAGCACACAATACCGTCACAAAAAGTGAAATAAATAACTTTATAAGGTTAAACACTCCCGTTGGCCGTTTGTGACATAATTAATACAACACTTATATTGGAAGTTATTTTGCACAGTTAAACTAAAATTTTGTTGATAAAATTACTGCGAATTGAAAAACTATTAACAACATCTAATATCTGCTCTTCTGCGGTGGAATTAGTTGCCATATGCCTCGTTCAGACGAGGAATAACACTACCAGTATCTAGAACAAGTTAAGAGTACCACAACAAACTATCATGTAAACCTCTATCTGGATACCCATTGGCATAAAATGAGCTACACATAATTAAAAACATCGCATATGACATTTTTTAAAACATTTTTGCATGAGAATAGGTGATGCTAGGAGAAGTAAGTTATGATTATGCTTAAAAGCTACCGGTAAGCTTTGTTTACGATATTCGGAACGTTACAAGTGAACTGCGGAAACTGCTCACGTTTTATCACGTATCGAACGTACTACAAACATTTTTCCGTTTTGATTTTTTTTTCAGGAGAGACGAAAGGGAGTTAAGGTTGAACTGTAGCCGACTAGCTCTTTTAACCATTTTAAGGAGTTGGTCCGGCATACTACATTTCTGCAGCCCCAACGATAAAACTGGTTTCAGAGCTATCGTAGAAGCTTTGTACTTAAATCAGTTAGAAGTTAGAGTGAGTTATCGAATAAAAATCGTTATTAAACGTACGAACGATAAATTTTTTTTCTAGAAATCAGTATTAGACTTATTATACGAACTGCTAGGATTACCTCAGCCGGAGTGGTCCGACGAGGTGTCGGTGGCCCTCAGCGCGGTTGATCCCTGCGAACCGCAGGCTTCCTGGAGGCTAAACGAGGGTTTCGTGGTGGCAGAGGGCAGATCAGTCCTGCCGCACCTAGCGAAAACCACGCCCAGTACGACCGACATGCATCTGTCCCTGTTGCTGTACTGCTTCCTGGAGAGCGGACTTTTGGGGGCTTTGACTGAGGTTATCGCCACGAGCGATACTTTTATAAGCGTCAGGGCGACGGTCCTGTTAGGTGCGTATGGAGATTTTCGTTTGTTTTTCGTTAATTAAACGTGTTCTAACATTTTAGGTGAACTTTTAAGGCTTATTCAGGTGTTGTTGCCCCCGGGTTGTTGTAACGTGTCACCGTCGTTACCGTCCCTGTTAGAGTACGCGACAAAGAGTAAGCCGCAGGCCATTGCCGCCATAACGGCTTTGCAGCAGCTGCATAAGTGAGTACGAAAGTAATTTTCTTGCAGTTACTTTTCGGGTTTGTTTTGTAATTTAGGAGTTTGCTGTACAGGGTGTGTCAAAATAGGATAGCCAACAGTTTGTTACGACTTTTAGGGACTTTGACAAAAAAAGCGGGACTTCTTTAAAATAGTTGCAACATTAATCCTGATTCGTGTTTATTCAATTTGAATGAAAGATACTTAACTTTTGCTTGTGTAAAAATGTAGAAATCATGTACAAAATAAATTGAAATTAAGTTCGTAATTTTCAAAATTTTCCGAAATAATTGAAATTTTTCAACAAAAATTATTAGCAGACATTTTATTACACTTACTTAAAATTGACTCCTCTATCGAATCCTGTGGTTATTTTGGGCGTAAAAATTTCCATCCTCAGGAAGGGGTGGGAACCACCTCCAGGGCAAAAGCACACTTCGGCACTATATAGGTTTTGTTCCTTGGGGCATTCCCCACATTCAGTTAAAATTTCACGTCAATCGGTTCAGTTATAAAGAATTCGGAGGTAAAAACCCTGAGTAACTGTACTATTAAACTTTTATTTTCAGAAAGTTTTGAATTGATGTAATAAACGCGCTAGCAACAGTAAAAGTTAACGTTAATGAACTGCCTGCATGCCGGAGAAAGAGCACCGAGCCCGCGCATGCGCGTGAGCGTCGCTCTCGTCACACACGAGATTTTTTACTTAGATTTCAAGTTCGTTTAAAAAATCTCGCGCGCGATCGAGGGCAACGCTCAGGCGCGTGCGCGGATCTGTCGCTGTTGCTGAAGTTTCATTTCACCACTGAAGAACAGTGACTTTTTGCCGAATTTGATGATAATCGATTCATTGATTTGACATGCAAAAATATTTCCTTTCATTTCAACTTAAACACATCACTTGCAATTAAAGCAACTCCGAACCAAGGAATATTTGGCCTTAAATCTGCCTGATAGATTTGTGCCCCTTTATTTAAATAGGCCCCGTTTAATTTTCTTGTGTTCACGTCTGCAGATTAATGAAAAGAAGACCCGCTTCGTACAGCCTCCACTTGGACTATATCATAAGAAACAGCTATCACAAAAGACTGGAACACAAACAAGGAAAAAATTCCCGTAGCAAACATGGTGGTTTAAAGTCCAAACTCCATCAGGTAACAAATAATATTGGTGAAGTAAGTGTTTTTTTTTATTTATCGTACAAATTCCCGTAAATCGCATGCTATTTTATCGTTCGAAATTATATTTCTTAATCATTTTTTGTATAAAAACAACATATTTCAGAGAATTTAACATTTTTATTCATTGACCTTTTATTTATAACTTCCCCAACTTAAAATTATCGTTTTATTTAAAGTTGGTGTTAAAGGACGGAGACGACGTTATTAAGGAAACGGGCGTCCTCCTCAGCAACGACGCCTTCACTTGGGACTGGAATTTGATCAAAATTCTACTAAAAGTAAATCCAGTCTTAAATAAAATTTACACCACTCTAAATAACCTTCTCTTGCTAGGGCGAACACAACGCTAAAATCGACCTGCTGGACTCGTCGTACCGAACGTTCGTGAAGAAACTCGTGGAATTCTTCATGCCTTCAAAGAATAAATACTCTCACATGGACCTGGGTACGTCCAAGACGAGCCTCGCATACACGACGGCAGGCATAGAACTGATCAACTTCCTCATCGAACTGAAGGAGCCGGAATACAACGGCATCAAGCCCCACACGTTGATTATGGAGCTGTTCAAAGACATCCTGAGTAATATCACGGCCATAACGACGAGCAGGAGCGTCCACGATTGCTTGTTCAGTCCCCAGCACATGGTTAACACTCAGTGCCAGAGTTATTTCTTGTTTATCGGTCAGTTCGCCAGGACCGATTTCGGGTTGAAGATGCTGGAGAAGATGGATATGTTCTCGAGGTAAGTGATGTGAATGTTGCGGTTTTTAGGCGTTGTTCGTAATCTACAACATCCGGGACGAAATAAATTGTAATGGAGTACGTATGTTTCTTATCGTCAACAAATTTGTCAAAAAATCAGAGACAGTTGAGCTAGTTCTAATATGTCTAAAGTTTATAGTCCAAGCATTCTGTGACGGCCTAATATTAACTTTGCAGAAATTATTACCTGAAAAAAAAAATTGAGTCTTCTATATATTCTTCTTTATCACCACGGTAGCGTAGTCGGTCGAGCTTGCGGTGACAACCATTTCTCGGCCAGACTTCCTATTCTGGTCCGGGTTCGATCCCTGGCATCAGCACTGGCAATGCAGATGGTGTTTGTCTGCGTTTTTTCAAGTGTAGTCCCCCTTCCGCACGGCTTTTGGCTTTGGATTTGGGGGTTGTCTCATTTCTGTGGTGCGTTTTATGTTTTTTCTTTAAACTCGATCCAAAATGGTGAACATGGTCAAAAAAATTTGCAAAAAATAACTAAAAAAAATATAGCTCCGATAGAAAAATTTTAAATGAGAAAGTTGTAGGTTTTAAAAAGATCTATCGACCGATTTTTTGTAATAGTCCAGTATACAACGGTAAAAATAGGGTATTACCTACGAATTCTTGACACACGCACCGATTTTCATGAAAATTGGTGAGTAAGCTTATTTCACCCTCCTTTACAAAAGGTATATATCCATAATGTGTGCTTATTGTTTTTAGGGGGTGAAAACTACCCCTTCCTACAAAAAACGTAAAAACCATAGATTTAAGTGTTACGTCAATAGAATAAGCATTCTTTTATGTTTTAAATAATAATTTTTGATTTGCGGCAACATTTCAACCCTTAAAATCCACCCTTGATGAGGGAAAAAACAAAAATTAGTTTTCGCGGCTCTGAAATGTTTTGACGGAGCAATAATGAAGAATTGAATATTTTTTACTGTTTATGAAATAATACATGATTTATTGCAACGTTTTAACCCTTAAAAACCACCCTTATTGCAGAAAATAACGAAAAAAATTTTTTTCGCATCTTCATATAATGAATGAAAAACTCATCACTGTTTATAATATTACTGATGATTCATTGCAACGTTTCTACCCTTAAAAACAACCCTTAATGAAGAATTGAAGAATTTTTACCTGCTTCAAAACACAATACCTTACTAAATTCAACAAAATTAATTGAAACTCGAAACTTGAATTATGTAGTTATTACGCCTCGGAAACTATCGGAAATTAAGCCATTTACACGATCCGACAATTTTCACTGAATAATACAATTAGTTTTTTCGCGATAACTTTTTTAATTTTTAATATTTTTCATCGCTCCGAAAAGCAATTTGCAGGGAATTGCAAGAGCTACAAATCAACCTTTATAGTTGAAGGGTCTTGAACTCTTCGTTTTCGAGATTTTTAGGTTTTAAGGGCTCAAAGAAGGTGGTCCTTACACGCAAATGCAAACTAAAAAACGTAATATCTCAGTTAAATTTTCCTCTACAGAAAAATTGAAAGTAAGCAAAAATTTTATAAAAAAAAGACCTTTAATTTTGAACTCTTGCATTTTTCACGTGTCTTGTTTAGTTTTTGAGTTATTTTGAAAAAAAGGAAATATCTTTAAAAATTAAAGAAAATTTTTTTCATTATTACAAACTTTTTTTAAATTTAGGTATTCTAAACCGGTCTAACTTACAGAGCCTATTATTAGTACCTAAATAAAGTCAACTATACACGGATTACGCTTAGTTTATATTTTTATGGTTCAGCCATAGATTTTATTGATATTTTCTTCGAAAAAATGAGATGACCATTTTATTTTCATCATAACCCCGTGAGTTTTTGAGCTACGAAATTTTTTCAAAAAGTATTTTAAAGGTCTTTCCAAGCACTTTAAAAAAGGTTATATTCAATTTCTTCGAAAAATTAGTTCTTTTGCCATTATTTTACGGTAGATTGTTCGATTTTACTTTCCGAAAAATAAACAATCACCTTTAGAGAGTGATAACTCGGTTCTTATTACATCTACGGTAATCAACACAAAATGAATCGATTCGTTATTTGAAAAGCTTTATTTTTTTATTTACATGGGTTTTTTCATAAAGCACAAGGTTTTCGAGTTATTTATCAAAAATGGTTGAAAAACATGCACTTTTTAGATGAAAAATCAACATTTTCAATCGCAATTAACTCGGAAAATATTAATTTTTGGAAAAATCGTTATAGAGCATTTTCTGCTTCTAATTCATCCCTCTATTGATTTTTGCGATTAAAATGGGTGTCTTCATTGCCACCCCCGAGAAGGGGTGGCATTCACCCCCAGGGTGAAAGCACACATCGGCACTATGTAACTTTTGTTTCTTGAGCAATTTTCTACTTACTGTTAAAATTTCACGTCAATCAGTGCAAATGTCAAGAATTCGGACCTAAAAACTGGCATAGGAGCTATAAGTATTGATTACTTTGTTACTTTTCGAGATATATCAAAAAGAACAGTTAAAAATCTTCTCTTTTCATTTATAACTCATTTACATTTACGTTCCCTTACTTACTATTTACTGTAATTATTTTTCGAGATATATTGATTCTTTGAAAAAAAAGCGCATTCGAAAATTGGCTAAGATCTTCTCAGTGGATGGCCCTACAGTAAATTTTCAGTTTATTTTCATCGTAAAGAGTTGTATTACCATGATATTAAAAAATAGTGGTAACTTTTTTATTTGGAAAAAATGTAAAGGACGTAATTAACATTTTCAATTTCAAGAAGAAAATAATAGGATGTTTGATTTTTAGTACATACTAGTATTTTTTTTTTAATTAGTGAAAAAGTGTCAGCAACTTCTTTCTTTAAAAGTAATTTTCATAAAATAAAAATTGAAACAGTTTTTTGAAAAAAACGCCCAAAAAAGTGCAATTCTTTGATGTTGAAAATTAATAAACCTTAAACAATTTTTCACGGCATAGTAATACAACTCTTTACGAAGAAAATAAAGCAAAAATCGTTGATATACGGCCATCCGGTGAGAAGATATAACCAATTTTCGAGAGCGCCTTTTTTTCAAAGAATTGATATACCCTGTGATTCAGTTTGGTATTTGCGGCCCAGTATCTTTTTTATTTTAACAAATAGCTATAACAAACTCCATATATATTTAAATTGCCGCTCAAACTCTATCAAATGACATTATTAGATGGTCTCCATGGTATCATATGTCAAAATTGCTATAGTCAACTGTTTTTGTTCAAATGGCACACTATATATCAATATTTTATCAATTCTGGAAGATATTTTTGTCTGCGTTCAGCTATGTAACGAAATCTATAGTTTCATTAGAAATATTGCTAGAAAAACAGCAAAAAATTAACCCTATATTTAGTAGCTTTATTCTGAAAAATGATAGCCAGCTGTGAATAAATAAAAATATAGTGTGCCATTTGAACAAAAACAGTTGACTATAGCAATTTTGACATATGTTACCATGGAGACGATCTAATAATGTCATTTGATAGAGTTTGAGCGGTGATTTAAAAATATATAGGGTTTGTTAAAATAAAACAGATACGAGGCCGCGAAGATCAAACTGAATCACCCGGTATTTTGAAAAATAATTAATATTTTTAAATTTTTCAAAAATGTATTTTTGGGCTTGCTGCGGGCTATGCTTGCAGTAAATTGCAAGTATGGGAACGTAAACGTAAACGAGTTACAGAAGAAGAGAAAAAAGAAGATTTTTACGGCTTTTTTGATATATCTCGAAAAGCAACAAAACAATCAATACAAGAAATCAGTCGATAGATCTTTTAAAAATCTACAACTTTCGTATTTAAAATTTTTATATCAGAGCTGTATTTTTATTATTTAGTTTAGTTTTATTTAGTTATTTTAGAAAAACCGTTTTTTGCAACTTTGCAATTTTTTTTGTCTTTTTTGGCCTTTTTGGTTGGGTTTTAGGGACCCGGAACTTCATTTTAAATTTTTTTTTCGGTTCTTTTTTTTTTTCCAGGTAATCATTTCTGTAAGCCCTTCTCTGTCATGCTTGGACTATTAACTTGAACACGAGTGGTGCTCGTCACATCATAAATTTCGAATTATTTTGCATTTTTAGGTTAAAGGAGCTAGCGACGACGACCAACCACGATTGCTACGTAAAACTAATCATCTCGTCACTGGAGTACATATTTCCAGGCCCGTGCAGGGAAATCTTAGAAGCGGTCTTAACCTGCAACTTGGAAAGTTCCCGCCTATACGCCACTCAATTCCTGCATATCTTACTGCGAGCTGGAAACCCCTTATTCTCCAGCTGGGCCGTACAGCTCCTCGTCAGCCAGCTGTACGATAAGTCGCGATCCGTATATCTATCCGCCCTGGCTACCTTGCACGAGGCCTGCGAACTCCCGGATTGCCTCGAGGCTTTGGTCAACATCAACCCGAATCTCGACAAGCTGGGCGAGAAGGGCACTATTTTATTCATAAGGTTTTTGTCGACGGAAAGTGGGTATAATAAGATAATTAGCGACTTAAGTAAAGATAAGGTTATCGGGGAGATAAAAAAATGGGACGATTATTTTATATATAGGTACGTAAAGTTGGCGGAGGGCGATATATCCGACGCCCTCACTTTACACCAACGGAACGAGGCGGGGAAGTACGATAAGCGAGTTAGCACGTTGAGGAATATCAATCGGAAAGACGTTTTTCTGCCGCCTCACCTGTACGGGCAGCTTAGCAAGCACGCCGATGGGTTCGATCTGCTGATGAGTCACGGCTCGGCCGAGAAATTGATAGAGGTAAGATTAGGATAAGGCTTTTCCCGGTTCTTTTATTATTTTTTTCAAAAGATTTGCTTGAGACGGGGAAAGATGCTGAAACGCCAAATATAAGGTTACATTTCGAAAGGAACAGTTTGAAAAATCTAGACATGCTTGATTTTTATAGTGAGTGGTAATTAAAATATAGTTTTCTAAAAATATAAATGTCTAACGAGACTTTGATGACCCTGAAGACTTTGAAGAATTCTTGTTTTTATGAAATTTCTTCCTATGCTTTGTCCATGATCTGTCTCGTAATTTTTACTCAAATAGCAATTCGGTGAGTCCGGTATTAGTAGACCAGTCGTTCAGTACAACTCATGTAATGAAAGTGTAGATCCCTAGATCTGGGCGAGGCCCGGAACAATTTCAAAATTGCAAATATGTTTAAAACATTAAAAAAAAAACTATTTTATCTGAGTTTTTTACTTATATCTTGGAACCTATGCATTTTGGAAGAATATTGAAGAGGGGAAAAAGTTTTAGAATTGAATTTTGCACAATATATTGTAAGTTAAAAATGTTTAAATTTATTACCGATGTTGCAAAATAGCAACAATTAATGAAAAAAGGCAAAATAATAAGTTTGTTGGATAATTTTTTTTAAATATTTTAATTGCTCCGAATTGCATTCTAATATTTTGGTAAAAAAAACTTTAAAGTATATTAAAACAAACCAAATTTCATTAAAATCGGTTCGATAGTTTTGAAAAAAAATTTTCGGTTTTTCAAAATTAATTTCCAAATGAATTTTTTTTTTAATTTCTTTAAACAAACATTATTTAAATAATTTTAGTAATTATAACTAAATACATTCATATTCAGTGTTGAAATATATACGTAAACAAATTTTTTCATTGAAAATATGCAATAGCATAGGGTAAAATATACAGTATATTTAATGCATAAATAATAAATTTGTTTATAACAAAATATGTGAAAATTAGACAGTTGGCATTATGATATTCGAATTCCTTGGCTCGCGAGACGTCGGTTCAGAAAAAAAAAGATCGAAATTGGTCCATTAGAAACCGAGATAATGCAATTTTTTTGTACCTCTGCATTTTGAACCTCCGAATTCAGTCTCGGAGCAAAAGTCCCCTCACCCACTTTTCGTGTTTTGAGTCACTTTTCGCTGGTGCGAGCGACAGCTTTTCCGCTGATTTACCTATGTTGCCGATAACTTATGGATGTGAAAATTTTTTCCCGCTTAGAACTCGGAAAAACGAAGCCACTGGATCAAAGATTATTGCTAAATTGTTTATAAATTAACGGTAAATTCCGATAAACCGCTTATATCTCTCAATTTTCTGTGGCTAAATCAACTAATTTCAATTTTTCAAAAACCATTTGAAAGGTTGAGCGGTCTTTTCTATGTAAAAAAAATTTCAAATATCTAGATGCTTTATTTGAAGCTGTGCAATATTTTGAAAATTCGAAAAATTTTTTCAAAACATTATTTTGCGAAAACTATCGAACCGATTTTAATGAAATTTGGTGTGTTGTTTTATTATACTCTAAAGTTTTTTTCACCAAAATTAGAAAACCCTCGGAGCAATTAAAATATTTAAAAATAATTATTCAAAAAAACTTTTTTTCATCAATTGCTATTTTGCAACATCGGTAATAAATTTAAACATTTTTAACTTACAGTATATTGTGCAAAATTCAATTCTAAAATTTTTTCCTCTTCAATACTCTTCCAAAATACATAGGTTCCAAGATATAAGTAAAAACTCAGATAAAATAGGTATTATTTAAATGTTTTAAACAATTTTGCAATTTTGAAAATGTTCCGGACCTTGCCCAGATCTAGGGATCTACACTTTTATTACGTGAGTTGTACTGAAGGTATGCCAGCAAAAATTAGCTTGCCCCCTCCCACATCCACCTCAGAACAGATCCGCCCTGCTCTACTGGTCGTCAAAGCAAACCTGTATTGGTCCACTAGGTCGTAAATAATTTGTTGTATGGTATTTTGTTCATATCGTAACCAGTAAAGGGTAATAGTGACTGAAATAATTATCAACTAATTTAGCATGGCTTTCTAGAGACCCTTTGAAACGGAGGATAACAAAATCACTTGGGAAAGTCCCCAAATAGTCAAATCTGTTTTTGTCGAAAGCTTCGAAACAAACTCAGTTTAAAGACAGAGGTTTACACGTACAAAGTCAACGTATTATTTTAAATATATATGAATGTTTAAAAAGAGAAAATATAGTGAACAATGCGACAAAGATTTTAGGAAACGGATTAGCGAATTAAAAAAGATATCAAAAAGGACAATTTATCGCATTGCGTAATTAAAGAAGGGGACGTTATTGATCACGGTACAAGAGGAAAAGGAAAAATAGGCCGCACAATTTATAATTAAACGATTATCCTGATTATAATTATAAATCTTTATATAAAGACTTTAAGACATATTTTATTACAATGCGGTTTGAAACATAAAAAACTTGATAATCGTATGGTAATTATGGAATCGCGCCGTATAGTTGCACTTCGGGAAGATTATTTACCAAAAATTAGAGAATATCGCCAACTAAATAGGAATATAGTATATCTAGACGAGGCATTGCAAAAATTTTCTGGACGCCTATGGATTCAGTAGAATTTATGAACCACTTAAGTGTCTTTAAGCGATTCCAATTGAAAACGTAACAACCATACAAGAAGCTGATAATCATTACTTATCCAGGCAGATTGTTCGATTGCGACGAATTGGTACAAGACCGGCAATTATTTTTTGGCCTCTGTAATATCATACTATTTATTCTGTTTTCACAGTTAACTTCATTTGTCATCAGGAATGCAGATTTTTAATTTTATAACCATATTTTTTAATTATAAAAGTTAGTATGGGGCTTATATTTATATGGGGCCTACCTTTGATCTTTAGAAACACAAATTTTAAATTTGTTTTCTTAAATTCTATTGTGAAAAGTGATTTTCTCTTTTAAGCATACATTGTTGTCATATTTCATCAGGTGGATTGATATTATATACTTTACTCAACTAGATAAGTATTAGAGGTCACTGGCACTGAGATTCACAAACTAAACAAAGTGCTTTAAGGAAATAGTAACATACATTTTTTTTATTAATAACCTTACTACGTACCTTTGAATCAAACTTAGTAATGCAAATGCTACTCATAAATGGCAACTATCCTCTAAAATCTCTATCGTCTTTGTTCGTTGTATAAATAAGAATGATATAGATTCTATACGAGAGTCGCCATCTAGTATTTTCAACCCTAAGTTTGACTGGTTATCTGATTGCATCACATATGCATTTTAGATTATAAAAAAAGCAAGGGCAGATTCCGAAGACGACATCATCAAGCTAAAAGCGTCTATATGGTCGCTCGGCCACTTGGGCAGCTCCACCAGAGGGTACAACTATCTCAACTCCTTTGGCGTCGTCGAGAACATCATTAATCTGGCCACCAAGTCGCCAGTGTATTCCATCAGGGCCACCGCCTTCTATACTCTAGGCCAACTGGCCACCATACCGATCGCCGCCGACGACCTAAGCAGAAAGGGCTGGTTGTGCACTCGACATAACAGACACGAGTACTGGCCCATCATAAGGGAGGAATACGAAGAGGGCGTTCCTTTGAATCAGTGCAGCGTCTCGACTTCGGACGACATCGCGTCGTTGGATAACCCCTTCACGTACGACTTTGAAAATATCGACGAGGACCAGGTGGACAACATCGAGGCTCGGGACTTTTTAAGGTCTCCCGTTTGCTCTCCAGGTAAATGTTTGAAGACCTAGTTGTTATCATTTGTGAGTTTATCGTAAATATTTCTGTTCGAAGATAATAGGCGGGTGCGACAATCGACGCTACCGGCAAACAGAAGACCTCCCGTCGTGTTCCATAAGAGATCCCTCTCCGAATCGAAAACGTTTGACGTTAACAATGGTTACGAGGAGGAGAACAGGCCTAGTTTGATGCCATTGACGTTCGGCAGGCACAGGAATAGTTCTATGACGGAGTCGACAACTTCGGGAGTTAGTTCGTGCGACTCACTGCATAATAAACACGGAACTTGGTAAGTTTTACTGTGTACCAACCGTTTGGAAGTTTAGTATGTGGTCAATAGCTTTGTTTATAATTTTTTTTGTAACTAGTTTCGAAATATTTCACGTTTTTGTTCAAAAAAACAATATTTATTCTGCATCAGACAACGTAGTTCGAGCATTAGAACTATTTCAGGCATTGTAGATTTACGCTTCAGGTACTAGTCGCTACGATTGGCCATTGTTGGCACTGCCGACTTAGCAACTGTTGAATTTGTTAATAAAGAAAAGTTTGCGGCGAGACCTGTGGTCCTTACCTGAGATTTTCCCGAATTTAGATCCTCTGTCCGTAATAGTTGTAGGAGGAGGAAACAGCGCAATTTGACTTTACTTCGTAATATCTTCTACGATTTCATGATCTAAATGGAGGTTAAATTTGCAGTGCAGAGAGGGAGGGAAGTATTAACAAAATTCAGTACGTGTTGGCCAATCAAGACAACGTTCGACAGTGAATTTTACGATTTTTCCTTAGAAAATCTAAACTGTAAATTTTATCGTGTTTTCTTAACTTTTATACTTAACGTTAATAGTCCATGTTGGCATTTAGCATCCCTAAATTTTTTTTTGCGAAAAAAATTGTTCATTTTTCTTTTTTCAGCGTAAATTACATGATGACATTAAGTCCCATCCCGAGCTCGTCTAGCTTAAGCACCCTTCAGCTGCCCCCCGGGCATTTTAAAAGGGTATCGCACAGGGTCTCCTCGAACAGTAAGTTTGTCGTATATTTCGCCACATTGCAACGTTTCTGACTGCACGTTTTAAGGTGCCACCAATTCGGACGTATCGTCCTCTCTCAGCGGAAGCGTCTCCAACGAGCTGAGCATTCAGAATCTGATCGGGTACAACACGATGCGGTTACTAAGAAGAGCGGAAGGACTGAGTTTCGACGCCCAGCATTGCGAAGAAGATTATTTGTTCAAACCCGCTCCCCATTTAATGTAAGTTTGTGGAATTTTTTGCAAAGAACACCTCTACTGAATTTCATCGATGAAGATTCTAAAAAATTTCTTTTTTTAACAAAAAAATATTTTTTTGAATATAGTAAGTAACCTTACCGTTCTTATATTTTGAACAAAAAAAGGGAGAATCGTTTTGTATAACACAATAATTTTCATTGGTTTAGGGTGCCATCGTTGATAGACGACTTTCGGGTGATGGACACCAGCTTCACGTCAGTTTTTAACATCCAGAATTTCGATATCGATACTTCGGTCGCTCACGACGACAAGCATTACATGGGGATATGCCTGCCGAAAAATTTGTCGGTTCTGTTTCCGAGCCAAGAGGAAATCTTCAGAGAGCCTTACATTTTTCCGGAAGGTATGTTGTGGGAGGATAGTTGCGACAGTGATATCAGCGAGACGTCCTACAGGAAAAGTTCCAATTTTTCCAAGCACTTCAAGCAGAGCTGTCTGTATTGCTGTCAGTTGGAAGAACTGGAAAATCCTGAGGAAGAGACTACCGATCGTAAGTGACAGTTTTTTTTATTATTATTCAGTTGGCTACACTGTGGTTGTGCGCGGGCATAGGCATGTAAACAAATAGATTTCCAAAATTATGCAAATTCTATAACGATTCAAGTGTGTAGTATCAATGAAATAGTATTTTTATAGTCCATTTACGTTATTTAATTTTAATGCAATTTCGTGATTGATAACGGACATACGTTATGGAAAATTACGCATTTACTAGTATTCGCAGGTGCTATGAATCAATACGTTCGAGTAACTCATTTTTTGAAAGAAGATTCTATAATTTTATGATGGAAATATAGATGGCGACACTTTCATAAAATACCTGTCGCCTTTATTTGTACTCTAAACAAAGTATTACTTTGATTGACGTCATAGTTTCATAAAGTTGGTGGTAAAACAGGGAAGACTGATAAATACGCCCATACAACTAAGTTGCTGCCTAGTAACGGCGTTGACAAGAATTACAACTCACTAGCTATTTGATTAAAAAAAGTTATTTCTGAAACACTGACCCCCCCCCCATCAATGACCATGGTAATGTTTTTGTTATTGTTATCATTTTCTTTCAGAAACAGTTCGAGCGGAGGTCTTGAGAAACGTAGAACGGCTAGCGAATCCCGTTTGGAATAAGCAGGTGCGTTCACACCTCCTCCGCTTCAAGCAAAGAGAGCCTCACGTCTTCAGAGACCTTTGCACGTACTCGGAAGTATGCAGGATGATTTCCGAGACCGCTTACAGGTTATCGACTAGGAGGCTACTGCACGAGCTCTTCTTTGACGTTTCGTTCGTCGGTTTATACGAGATGCCGCAAAAAATGTTAGAATCCGGAGTCAAGAGAGGTAGTTTTCAGAGAGCGGGTACCAGCGTTGAGTCCGCTTCCAGCGAGAGGGACAGGAAGAGTTTTTCTAGCGACGTTTCCAGCCCCACGGAATCGGTAAAGACGCTGGACTCGTTGAAGTTAATATTTAATGAAAATAAGTTCCCTATAAGGAAAAATACTAATTAAGGTGAAAATGTAACGACATTCTCGGCAGATTAGAGTAAGGATCGTTTCTGTTAAGTGATGTTTGTATACTCATGCCCTTTCCGTTTTTCCGTTTACCCGAATCTATACTGAGCCGACCGCCGGTAGTTTATTTTTAGACTGCTATTAAAAGTTCCTCTTTTTATACGTTTCCTCCTGCCATAAGGTATTCTATTGTAAGCGACAATTCACGTAATATGGAAGAATCATATTCAAGAATATTTATAATGCCTTGAAATGACTAATTATGTATTCACTTGACTGTACTTTATAATACCTTTGTAATATTTAATTCCGAGATTAAATCTTTATTTGTAAATAAAACATATTTACTTCGTCTAAACATTTTACTCGGCACACAAATAAAAATGCAAGGTAAGTATAACCATGAAATAAATAGAGACGTAACAGCTAATATATTACAAAATACAAATGTTAATGTTACAATAATTAATTTTGATTGGAGTAACGTCTAGATCAGTAACGCAGCAAGTAGGCGATGATTAGCAATGACATTTGAATTTTTAGGTTATATTTCGCAGAGCGGCCTACGCTGGTAGGTACAAAGTAATGGTTTGCAAAGTAGGCTTTTAACATATGACATCAACTGTATTCTGTACCTCATAAGTTAAAATTAACCATCTCGTTAAAATACTAATTTTAACCCTATCGCTAAAAATAATAACTCCAACTGGTATTCTGATAAGTTTTTTTAACGAGCCAGTTAAAATAATTTTAAGCCGTACCTTTCACTATTCGTGAAGTTAGCAGCATAGAATATATATTTCTATGGGTAAAAGACGTCAATTTGTGATAATATAACCTCAATTGCTGGATTAGTTGGGGGATAAAAAAACAGTTCCAGTTAATCGTTGACTTTTTGGAACAATATTTTACAAAAAATTTCAGCCTTAAATTGTGGTTGCAAATAAAGCTTGAAATGATTTAATTTAGAGGGCCATTATAACGTTTATAAATAATAGAGATCAATCGCACATTTTGTCAAGCCAGGTTAAATTTTAACAGCATCTATATTTTTCACAGCAACCTATGCCAGTAGGTACAATGTAATAGTTTGTAAAAGTAGGCATTAACAAATGACTTTCTTTAAAGGTTAGATTCCTCACATCGACCTAAACCAAACCAGCAGATACAAAGTAACGCGTTGTATATACCAGTACTTTCTAAATTCAGCGATGCATGCATCAGATATTTCTAACCTTTTTTAACTAAATATATGAAGGAATTAGGCGAAAGTAATTTTATGCCCTTTCTCATTTAAGTACTTCCTTTTTTAAGATACCAGATGACAAAATGAAAAGAAACAAATAATAATCGCTGCTTTGCAAGTTGAAATTTTGCATAGCATTAACCATTAACTACATTGTACGACTTCACATAGTCTCGCCAGCATCACAAACTTATTGGTACAAAATTCACCATGAAACATATCAGGGTGCTCGGATATCACTGATTTAAACATTACTCCATTATTAACAGTAGTTATAATCTCTATATGAATTCTAAACATCAAAATACAAACACTTTTACATGAAATAATAATCGCAGGATGTGTAATTTCACACCTACCCTACTTTTCCACATGAATTGAATGTGGGTTTCGGTTTCAAATTCAAAAGCAATCCATGAATAATTCCAGAAAAATTGTGTTAGTTAAAATATATAACTAATGAAAATAGCCTACCTTGTACTGTGCATCACAAAGATAAAAGCATAACGTGAAAAGCGTTCAAATTTAAATTATAACTTGAATTGTAAGCTAAAAAATTAAATACTGAAATTTTATGCACCATCTGATAGGATGGATGAAATATATCAAAGTGCATACCGATGAGCGCTAAGTTCTAAAGCGTATATTTCCGGTGGTTCTGAAGACGAATGATCCAAACAGTTTAGAAGATCCGCGACATCGAATATAGAACAACTCGTTTCATTTCTTATGAAAGAAAACGTGAGCCACGCCATTAGAAAAATGTCTATTATTAATAATTATGATTTAAATTCGAACGCCCCTCGTACGTAATAACAAAGTAGTTTTCGTAAAATTAGCAACACATTTGTGTTAGTTACCAGCTGAACAATCCAACAGAGCAATACGAATTTTTACAATGCCTAATAAATTACCACTAAAAAATGCTGCCTTCACAATTTTTTTAATTTATTTTTTGGGTACTGCTACATTGATATTTGTTGTGTAAGCTTTAATACTGAATATAAATAAATGTCTGATAAAAAAGTTGCAAAACATTCAGAATAAAAATATTGTACAGAGTGCGTTCGATATAAAAGCCATTTTTCTTACAGATGACTGAAAGTAACAGTCACAAATCTAATTTCTAAATCACGATTTGTATATATTTTCCGTGCAATAAAAGGCAAATACCGAAAATTATTTATCACAGGATTTATTCTGATAAATTAGCAACCCTTTTGCACTATAAATGTATTTTTTCTGGTTAAATTTGCTGCCTCTCAAAATTATTTGGGTGTACCTACATTTTTTTCGCTGCCGCTTCCGATTTATAGGTGTACAGACCATTAAGAAGGAAAGCAAAAAACAAACGAAGGTCAAATATTTTAGCCTATTTTGGCAATATCGAAAAATTTGTGTGCATTTTTTTTTACAATGTTAACGACCCGTACACTTGTAAATCGTGACATACTTTACAATAAAATTAAAAATAACTTTAGCAATAGTCAAGTTTGTTCAAACTACTCACAGAAGTCAACCTCCTACCTACACGCCCGTGAAAAAATACAAAGAAAACATTTAACGACACATATACATACTATAAATGTTAGTTCAAAAATTTTATCTATAAGGTATATACATTTTTGTTACTGAAAAACATATAGATGCAACAGAAGATCACGTGCAAAATATACAGGTAGTTCGCCACATTCATTTCAATGGTTTCTAAAAGAAAATGGTGCTGAATGACATCGTTGAAGTGATATTTCTGGTGCACCTTACGATTCTTAAATGTTAAATACAGGGTATCCTGTAAGAGTCTACTAACTTCTCGAGAGCATATAGGGGAGATCGTAGTAACATTTTGACTTCCTACAATTTAATAACGTTCTTTCTTAGGGAGATATCGTGATCCAAATGCAACCTAGAATTTCGTTTTGGGTTCTAACTTTTAAAACACCTTGTATAATTTGGTAATATTTTGACGTAGTGCCCATAACTCATTTATTTTGATAATATTAATAGTTTTCGAGATAAATCAGTTTTTGAAACAATAGTAAAATTAGTACAAAGTTTAATTTTTTACAAATTATTTGCCCATGTCACACGCGTTTTGAACTAACACCTGAATAACCGAGGATTGTAAATTGGCGTATTTCGGCAAATTGCGGTTTATATCCAGTGACACCTTGTTTAGCATGTATTTAGCAAGTGTCCCAAATGAGCTACATGCACGATTGTGAACTTTTGCTGAGAATAACATTGAACTATAACCGGTTTTTTACCATTTTTGGATTTTTGTTCGTTTTTTGGATTAAAGGCCTTTTATTTTGTTTTCATTTTTTCTTTGTTGGGTGCAGGTCGCTGCCATAGATATCGTTTGTTTATTTATTCTAGATTTAATTTTTTTTTTTTTGGTTAGCGTACTTCATTTCTTTCTTTGCTTGCTTTCGGTTTTGTTTTGTGTTGTAACTAATGTATATATTTATTGTATATTTTTTTTTTTGGCTAGGCTGGTTGATTCAGTATCAGACTTGATCGAACCAGTGTTTTTCTCTGTACATATCATTTTATGTCGCCTTAGTTTGTATTCGCCTTTTATAGTATTGATGTGGATTTCGGAAAAAGAAACGTTCATTTCTTCAAGATAATCTGATGTTATTGCGACTAGAGAACATAATTTAAGTGTCCGAAAACTCTCAGAAAACTTTTAGCCCAGTAAATGAAAAAAATTTTGTACAAAAATTCGTTTCAGATTGAAACTTGGTTTAATCGTTAGTTTAGGCAGAAATAAATAATATTTCTCAAAAAGTATTGGTTTAAAACAACAAAATCATTGTTTAAACAATGATTATAAAGTAAAAACTACCAAAAATTGAGTTTTTTAGCTGTATTAAAAAGCGCTCTCCAACGGGAGTTTTTGCTTTTATATTTATAGGTTTTTTTATACATATAGGTTTTCAAAAAAGGCTTAATTTGAGACCTGCTAAATTAAAATCCATTAACAATTTGTTTAAATAATTGGAAAAAAACAGCAAAATTTGAATTTGCTATAAATAGAAGAAAAGAGCATAAATCGTCTATAAACTGCAGTAAAAGTTGTATTTTGTTACACTTAAGAAACCCTGAGAATTTGGAAAAAAAATATTTATTTGTTTACGAGTTTTTGCATTTGTTTATTAGAAATTTTCAAAATTTTCAAGTTCAACAAAGCGTTTGTTAGCGTTATAGTAAAGGGCCTTATGAGGGCTCATTTGTTTCGTCTCGACTTATATTTTCAAGATATGCAATTGGAAATTGTAATTTCATAGGCTAACCTTCTCAAAACGGTGTATAAACAAAATAAATAGTGTAATTTGTTTATAAGGTTTTTCGTTAATAACTTTGCGAAAAATGAATATTTTTTAGAGCCTCTGTCATATTCGTAATCCTCATAATTTTTCACTAATTTAAAAAAAAATTGTTCTAGAACCATTTTTAGCCGAGATAGCGTTTTTTTTTTTTTAATTTCATAACTTGTTTATTTATAAACATCAAGACTTGAAATTTCGGGAATAAATCAATCAACCCTTAAACTTCATATAACGGTTAAAGATATCGAAAAAAATGCATTTTATAGTAATTTTTAACCTTTTAAAAAACGTGCTCGAATACATTTACACCTTGAACGTAGTGAGGGAAATAAGACAGAAACGTTCCGAGACCAAATCTTAACTGCCAGAAAATTTTGCGATATCTCCGGTAATTGTGGACCAATTTTAACGTTTTATCACATGCACATGAAAATAATAACAACTGCACAGTCCATTTTGCAATAATTAATTATTAATTTGTTATAAATTTTTTTTCGCATTTTTTAGAGAAATAATTTTTCACAATGGTACCAATAAATAATTTTATTAAAAAACAATATTTTTATGTAGAAGTATGTATTGAAAATATATTGTTTTCAGTGGCAATGCGATAAAATCAGTAACAGACTTGATCAAACCAGTGTTTTTCTCTACTGCATACCATTTTATATTTTTTGAACGGGAAGAGATATTGAAAAACTGTTTTAATGAAACTTGTTGAGAAAAATTAGAATTCTCGTATGTTGCAAGAAAATGTGTGAAACTGAGAAAATTAATTTGGATATCACATTCCTTAGGACGCAAAAATTACCAAGATGAACTCATTCTTCCATTCCCATCCCATTTTTTCATTTTTACAAACCGATTTGCCTCGGAAACTGTTTATCGACATAATAATAATAATAAATTTACAGAAAACATATTGTATCTAAAAACAATATTTTACTTTTTATATATTGTTTTATTTTATATGGTGGTTTATTAGAATTCGAAACTAAATTACTGGGCTGCCCTTTGGACTGCGACATGTCCCTTCGGAGAAACAGGAAAAAAAATTATAGAAAGTCCCAGTGTTATTTTGACCTCCAAACGCTTTTGAGATTTGCAAATACTTAACGGACGTCCTGCGTATAAGTGCATACGTGACTGAATGATTTTTAGTTGATATATTGTCGATAACAAAGTTAGGCGAGTTAGGCCTATCATAACTATAGAATTTACTCGATTCTATTCCAATCGAAGTCCCTAGTTCCCACGTAATCTAAATGTATTTGTTCATTCTTGCTTATTAAATACTACAAATATGATTCACATCTCATACAGCCAGTTATTCCCCGAAAAAAATACAAACTCGCTACTAGCTACCACTTCTTCAGCTCCCTCAAACACCGAATTACTGAGTCAATTCACCCAAATAGAATTCCGAAACGAACACGTCTTCACCTTTTCCCCTCGACGGGCCTTGTGCTCGAAGCTGCGTTTTCTTCAGAGTCTTGCAGCTCCTCGTCTAATTGTTCATGTTCGTCTTTCTCGCTGACGGCGCCGCTTGTAGAAGCGCTAACCGAATTCATACTGTAATCGTTAAATTTCTCTAATTCCACGTTGATCTCGGGAAGGGAGGCGTAACGGTTCGATAGAGCGTTCGCGGACAACTCTTCAAAAGTTAAGTTGAGCTCGGCCCCAACACCCGGCTCTCTGGGTCGGTTTAACAAGTCGTTCTCGCACTTGTGGCCCTGCCTTTTCATGTGGATCTCGTTCGATATTTGTTCCAGGTTCTTTAAGGTTTGGGCGTAGAAACTCTTTGCCCTGTTAATATCTTTTTTGATGGACTCTATCCGACTTTTTTGAGTATTTAATTGGTCCTGGCAGACGGTTTTTTCCTCAAAGTACGGTCTGGATTTGGTTATAAACTTCTGCAGCTTTTCCTCATGGTGTTTAAGTTTCTCGTCTAATTCTTTAAAGACCTTTGCCCGCTTTTGGTGTTCCCGTTCGCTATCGGCTTTTTGATTTTCTGCTTCCATTACCTGAAACGGTTTACAAGTCTTAAAAATCGCACAAAAATGCTTACTAATCTAATATATTTGAAATATTTCCTAAAATAATTACAGTTTTTAATAAAATATATTTGTTACTACTTTTTTAAAGCACTGTGTTTAGTTTGTGAATCTGTGGCAATGACCTCTGACATAGTTAAAATAAACTTATTAATCCATCTGATGAGATATGACAAGCCACTAAGCAAGCAAAAAACAAACAGCCGAGTTAATTCAGTGAAATCTAAAGGTCAAATATTAAGATAGTAATTTACATTTCAGGTTCATTTACCTTCATTGTTGCATGATTAAGCATTTCTTGCCAGGCGTTATCAAACTGCCACTCATGCTGATGTGTTAAAAAACGTTGTTCCGCTAAAGCAACTGTTTCTTTAGCCGCCGCATGTATACCTGCACAGTACAGAATAACTATGACATGTAAGATAATCCAAAGTGCATTATATCTTACCATGTGCCTTTTTGTACAAGGCAGCTGCCTCCTGACATTCCTGCTGCGCCTTTTTAGCTTCCTCTAACAATTCGTAATAGGGTCTTGCTTTTTCGATGCAGCTGCCTAATTTTTTTGAGAGCAATTTTAGTCTTCTCGTAGATTCATTTAGAAGCATACGAAATGTAGTGTTAGCTTCCTACAATTATTTACATACACATACTGTTTAACTATCAAATAATTAAACTTACGTCATAATCAATTTCCAGTTTGTTTATTTCATCGGTAGTTGTATTTAATTTTTCCAGCTCAATTTGTATCCGAGGGTCCAAATCACTACTTTCTCCACCAGATTCATCCATATCTAATTTAAACTAGTTTTATTCAACTGTAGAAATAATCTTCATGGAATATTAACAACAAAGACACAATTTTAATCATATTACACCTTTGTACTTGACGACTCTTCCATGAAGATCTATGACCTATTTAAAAAGTTCTCCCCATCAAAACATACTTGTATATGTTTTTTTTTTTTTTTCACCTAAATTACATGAAAACACTCGATTTATTAAAACTATCCTGAATATGTACTTGAGATTCTATTATTGTACAATGACGCATTTGCTTGTGACATGTAATTTGCATTTTCCATTGAGAAACAATAAACAAATTTCGCATGAAAATTACACACTTTCTAAAAAATGTTTATTTGTAGCTATTATTCATCGCTTAATAAAATTATTGCATAAACTTTCTGAATATTTTGTTTCGCTAATATACTAAATTTTAATGGAAAATTTGAAACATAACAAAAACAATACTTAATTCCTAACCTATATAAGCTAATTTGTCAAGTCAATTGTCAAAAAATAATAAATTTATACCAATTTATTACGCAGCATCTTTTTGTTTTTATACCGAAAGGACAAAATACCTAACTGTTGTAAGAAATTCCATAATATCAAATTCTGCTATTTCTTAAATAATTTTGATATCCATGATCCAGGTAACTAATAACTATAAATCTAAAAATCTAAATTTAAACATATTTTTTTAGACAGGAATATGTACTGTTAGGATTTATGTGATAGTTTATATGATATTTCGGTTTTAATTCTTTATAAGCAGTAAAATGTATGGTTCGAAACCTGTTATGTTTTGTGGTTGCTAAGATAAGATCGATTTCTTTTTACATTAAGCAATTACCCCAGAGAAGTTAATATTAAGAAATTTTGCGTTCTCAATTTTCATGCTACTTAATTTTTTAAATTCAAACTAGTGAGAATTTTCAAGGGCATTTATGTTTGACTATGGACTATGTAGTAATCATAATTCATAATAACCGTAATACATACAATCTATAATCATCACAAATTAAATAATACGTTATACGTTAATACGTAACGTAATAAATATAATTAACCTTATACATGTCCTTAATATCGTATTTTGGACAAATATTACCTTTTACTTTTTAATGCCTGATTTTCACAATGGAGAAGCAGGCTAAAGTTAAATCTAGAAGGAAATATATCAATCCTGTTTTTCACCTACAGACAAAGGCTGAAGATGAGAAATTTATTACAAAAGACGTTATAAAAAATGTAAGAAAAACGGGACAGCTTAATTTATTTGGTCGTCATTTATCTTCAGGTAAGTTAATTGACTTTCCCACTGAATATTAACATTTATGTAATTGTAGTCCCAGAAGGAATTTTTACCATGTACGAACTAACCGATGGCATTGCTGTAAATGTAGATTTTAATCGGGCATCTAAAGATGATGAGGAAGTGTGGTGGAATATGAAACCATTAACAAATTTAGATCTAAGCTCAAACGTTCTAACAAATATTCCTGAAAAGATTAGCATGTTCCAAGATTTAACCGTTTTAAATGTAAGAATATTTCCTCAAATATTTTATAGACAGTGACTATTTTAAACTGTTTCTGCTGAAGGTGTTGTATTATTTTTTTCTATCGACAGTCTGTAGTGGCTAAGAGATGTTTGAAACAGTCTAAAATATAAAATAATAGGTATTTTTATTTAAATACTCATGAAATTAATTTATTTGTAGTTGCAAGATAATAATTTAACCACCTTACCTCCAGAACTGGGTAATCTAACGAAATTAACAAAACTTTCTATTAATCATAACAAAATTAACAACTTACCGAAAGAATTTTACAAATTAACAGAACTTAAAAATCTTTCCATAAGTGATAACTGTTTAGACAATGTCTCAAAAGACATTGCGGATTTGGTAATGCTGGAAAAACTGGTAAAGTAACCCTTTTATTATAAGTGAAAGTAGTTAGCGGCTAAATAATGGCATGTAGATAATTTTTTTGTGAATATTGATTACTTAATTATTGTAATTGTATCAGTGTAAGGAATAACTGGTAAAATTGGTTTTATTAAAGTTGCATGTTAAAGCCCGTTTAGGAAATTTTCTATTCCAGGATATATCGAACAACGCGATACCAAAGTTACCTTCTGGTATTGGATTCCTGGTACGACTCATTGACTTAAATGTAGCAAACAACAAACTTACGGACGTACCGCCAGATATTGTAAATTTGAGAAGTACGATTAACAATTACTTTCTGGCTGTTCAAAGTGTAAATAAATGTGTATGAATTTTAGATTTATTAAAATTGGACATCAGCCATAATAGCATTAAACATTTACCCGATATGGGCGAATTACGGAAATTACAATTGCTTTATGCACAACACAATGATATTGAAGAAATTCCAGAGTTTCTAGGTTGTGGGCAGGTCGAAGAAGTCTATTTTGGAAACAATTTTATAAAGGTAAAATGTTTTTTTTCGAACAGTTTCGAAAATGCTTAAAATTTTACTTTAAACATAATAATTTGGTCTTGACTTTTGCAAAATACAATGAATTATATTTAAATTTGGTACAGGGGAGATTTTGCGAATGCTAGTTCGATCAGTTCTTGAATTTACTGTTTTCTTTTTTCAAAACTTCTCGTACATTTTTAAGGATATCCCTATAGAGTTTTGTGAAAACTTGGTACATTTAAAAGTCTTGGAACTGCGAGACAACCAGATAGAGCTCGTTCCGAACGAGATAACAAATCTAGCACATCTTACGAAGCTGGATTTAACTAATAACGACATATCAGAGTGAGTAATTAATTATTAAGGGGTATCAAATTGAAATTATACGCTTCGTTACCACCATTAGGTTACCGAATACTATTGGCTTGATGCCGCACTTACAATCGTTGAAAATAGAAGGTAATAAGTTGAAGCAGATCCGTCCGGATATCATACATACGGGGACTAACAGGATTTTGAGGCACCTGAGAGAAAAAATAAGCGACGAAGAGATGCAGGGTATTTGCGGGAAAAATCTTGTGAGTACGCCGGGCGACAACGTTTTCCCAGACAGGTAACAAGAAAAAATTAAGTAATACCGATGTGTTTGGAAACGTATATTTGTAGGTATTCGATGAGGAACGGAAATATCTTAAATTTAGCTTTGAAGAATTTATCGGATGTGCCCGACTCGTGCTTCGAGGAAGCCAAAGAGGCGAAAGTAACTATCGTAGATCTGTGTAAAAATAAATTTACCAAAGTGCCTGAGGGGTCAGTAATTCGACTCTTTAATAACATTATTATCCATTTAATTTCTTTGCAGGCTAGTTCTAGTTGCGGGTTATTTAACGGAATTAAATTTATCCGTCAACCAGCTGAAGGAACTTCCCGACTTTGTCAAGGACTGTAAGAAGCTGAAATTTTGCGATTTTAGTAAAAATTTACTCTCGACTCTACCGTCGAGTTTCGTGGACATGGTATCGTTGAGAGAACTGATACTTTGCAACAATAAGTAATTTTAATAATAGTCGTTGATTTTAGAAATTGCAGTTGTTTAATTGCAGGTTAACGAACGTACCAGACTGCGTATACGGCATGGTCGGGTTGGAAATTTTGTTACTGAATGACAATGGCATCGAGGAAATAAATGTAGAAGGTTTAAAAAAGTTGAAAAGGCTCGCCAGTTTAAATCTGTGTAACAATAACATTCACCACGTGCCGCCAGAGCTCGGGAATATGACTCAGTTAAGGTAGACAGACGATAATTTTACTTTTTATTTCAGGTGCAATAATTGTTCCTCTGAGCAGTCACTCATCATGGAAGTTTCGTTTTTTTTCTCACATTTTGTAAAATAACACAGCGCTTCTCCAATTACACAAAATCAGTTCAAAAAATTTATAGGAATCCTTTATCTAAGAGCTTAATATTTTTTAATTTTTCACTTTATACTTTTGGGAACGGCACGTTCTGTTGTACAAATCTTGTAATTTTCTATTGACGTGTACGATTTCAAATATTTCAGAAGTCTGGAGCTAAAAGGGAACCCTTTTAGACAACCGAGATATGCTATTTTGGAACAAGGGACCGACTCCATCTTAGCCTATTTGAGAGACAAAATTCCACTGTAAACCAACTTTTATATATATTTTGCATGGCTTTCAATAATTTTTTTTTTATTTGGTGGCAGGATTGTGATATTTTCCGTACTACACAGGAAAAGGAAATACTCTCTCTGTTTGCTTGCTTCTAATTTATGGTAGCTTCTCTTGAAATCACTACATAATTTACTTTTTGGGTATGTTGTATTCCTTTTAATTTGTACATATAGGGATTTTTTTTACATTTGTATATAGTGTAGATAATTTGTATAGTTGTCAGTATTAATATAGTGCCATTAATAAATTTACTTGTCTTTTTATTAAGTGGAGGAACCTTATATACAGGGTGATTTTTGTGTACTTTCTAATGACAAAAAAAGAGGGCATTTTTTAGATTATTTTAAGGAAAAAAGTTCCTGTGAACAAAGACTGCTAATTTTTGAGATACGAGACATAAAAGATTTCAAGAATATACACACATATTTGAAAAAAAAATGATTATTTTGACAAATGGCGGAAATATTACGACATACCGTAATTAAAAACCGCAAACTTTCGTGCCACTAAGTGTTTTAAAATTTTGATAAGTCCGTTTGGTTCCAAATTGTATCTCGAAGAAAGCTCCCTTTCATCACTAAATGTTCTTAATTTTTTTTTAATCTGGACCTGTTTTCAATTTATTGTACTATTTAAATTAGGCTGAAAAGGTAAGAACTTGTTTTTGAGTTGAAATTGAAATATTTTTTCTCATGTTTATTTTAAAAACTTTAAGCCTTTGTATGGGATCCCTTAAAATTATGTTAAGGCACATATTACAATTAAGAATCAACACCTCTATTATAAGACATAGAACTACCATGTACATTTGAACTACTTCGTGGAATTCTAAGGAAATACACCCATTTATAAAATCTCAAAAATCAGACTCAAAAGTGGATAAATGACTACAATACAAACTGATGATAATCAGGCTTCAATATATGTAGAAAAACTATCAAATGATAAAACAATATAATTATTACTACTAAAATCAAATCAAATTGTGGATTACTTTAGTAAGAGTTTATTAGCAACACTTTTCGATAAATTGTGATGTGATATATATTTTTTAATTTTGTCCCTAAAAGGATATAAAAAGTCACCTTATTCATTATCGGACACAGGACTACCTTGTACGTTTGAACTACTTACTGGGGTTTTAAGGAAACAAGCTTATCTACAAGAATCGTAAAAATGAAGCTGAAAGGTGAAAAAATGATTCCCTCCTTTAATTATCGGATATAACACTACCAAGTTCATTTGAACTGTCGAATACAGGACTACCGTGTACATTTGAACTACTCCATAGTATTTTAAGAAAAAAACAAAGGTGAAAGGTAGAAAATGACGACAACACAAACACGTAATAATCAGGTTTGAACATATTTAGAAAAAATTAAGTTGAAACGATATAATTATTACTCAAATATCAAATTTTATATTATTTTAGCCAGAATTATGATTTATCAGTATGGAAATTAGGAACAAGCATGTGTATAGAACATTTGCAATTTTTTTAGTTAAAAATTAATATAAAATGTATTAAACAGTAAATTTACCACAGAATAGGATAATTTTGCTATTTCCAAAATAAGAGAACAACTTTTTCCCTTAAAATGATGTAAAATATCAAACCTCTATTATCAAACACGGAACTACCGCGTACATTTGAACTACTTCGTGGAATTCTAAGAAAATACATCCATTTACAAAAATTGCAAAAATGAAAGCTGTAAGGTAGGTAAATGACTACAATACAAATTGATGATAATTTGGTTTGAATATATTTTAAAAAATCTGTCAAACGATGAAATCTACCTAAATCAAATTGTGGATTATTTTAGTAAGAATCACAATTTATTAGTATAGTAGTCAATAAATTTGCCCAGATGTGATACTTTTCATAAATCTTGTAGCTAAAATGTTGTAAAAGGTCACCCTATTTATTACCGGACATGGGACTACCTACTGGGGTTTTAAGAATAATAAAAATTGAAAGGTGGAAAAATTATTGCATCCTTTAATTATCAGATACAAGCCTACCATGTTCATATGAACTATCGGATACAGGACTACCATGTACATTTGAACTACTCCATCGGATTTTAAGAAAAAAAAAACAGATAAGGTAGAAAATAACTGGACAATACACACATAATAATCAGGTTTGAAAATATTTAGAAAAACAGAGGTGAAACGATTTAATTATCAAATTTTATATTATTTTAGTCAGAATTACGATTTATCAGTGTGGAATTAGAAATAATGTGTATGGAATTGCAATTTTTTAATTAAAATTTTTTTGGCATTGGTGTAAATTAATGTAAAATGTATTAAACAGAAAATTTACCACAGAATAGGCGAATTTGGCTTTCTTTATTTCCAAAATAAGAGCACAAATACAGGATCGAAAAAAACAAAATTCTTAAATACGTTTAGACAAAGTACGTTTTACCTAATTCAAGACTTGATGCTGTGCAGGTGACACGGATACATTCTCCCGAAGAATAGACCGTATCTGAATGTGTCCGTCCACTCCTCGTGCCACGACGATTCCATCTGGTCCTGGATTCTGGTCTTCGTCGCCTTACTTATCGATTCTTCCAGTTCGACACCCTTTGAACTCAACGCGGAGGTCTCCAAAAAATACGTGTAATATTTAAAAGGTATTTCGATGGTAAAGCTCGACACGAACCGAGAAGACTCCGCCAACCATTCCATAACGGGTATATTCCAATAATCCCAGGAAATATACTGAGCGTTATCGTCATCTGTCCTCAAAGTAACATCCGTCGTGTTGGTCCGATCGGGAGACTTGATCGAAGCGAGTAATATGCTAGTTTTAAGGACGTTAACAATATCCATGTTCCTCCCGCATTTCGGTCTAGTTTCAGTCTTGAAATCAGGTTCTTCCATTAATTCGATCTCGGTGATTGGCGGCGGCGGGTAACCGGCTTGATTGTCGCTTTTTTTGAGGTACAAGCTCGTTCCCGGTACATGGCTGACGAGAAACACAGAACTTACCAGAGTCAAGAACCCAGCGGTATAAGCGGCGGCCAGAATAATCGACACAGCCACAAGGCAGTGAATCAGGTTATGTATTTCGACGATACCGGCCAAATTCTGTAGTTCCGTGTAAGTAAAATAACCCCTTAAAGCCCCCTGCCTTGCCGCCAGCGTGGTTTCCATCTCGTTGAGCTTTTTCCAGAAACTTAGTTCGCTTACGTAAATTTCCCAGTCCTGAAAATATATTATAACTCGTTTATCAATATTTTTTTGTAACTAAACCGGAATTTGCCTAATTTTTTCTGACTCACTATTGCTTTCAAGAAATCCTTTTCTAGATGAACCAATTCCCTCACAGAAATGCCCCCGGATGCTGCCCACTCATCAACAAAAACTTCGTCGGATTCTCCATCGTCGAATAGAAATTTACATGAAACCATCTGAAAGAAAAATACAGGAAACGATTGCGGTTTACGGAATGTGACCTTCAAATGTTATCTGAATCTACTACATCCAATATAATACTCAATGATTATCTTTAATTCCTCACAAAAAATAAATTGATTTGTATTTACTTACAAGAGATACTAGGAATAAATCAGATGGAGCAGTTTTATCCAAATATTCAGGATTGCATTTCTTTAATCTTTCCAAATAAAGCATCGCCAAAACCAACGAACACGGTGAAATGCAAGCGTTTCTAGATATTTCAGCAGCCTCATTATAATGCAACCTTTCCAATGATTTGCCTCTCTGCACTTCAGAAAATAATTCAGCGGCCAATTCTAAAATACAAAAGTTATTTTCAATTCTGATCTGTATGAATTTTATCACAAAATTTATCTATCAAGTCTTAAGAGGTACTCGACCTCTTAACGCTTGTTTTTGATCTTTTACTGCTACCCACCTGTTACTGGTAAACTCAGTGTTTCTGTTCTTGGTAATTTTCCATAATACAGGGTCTTAGTAATTCTTGATAAATAAGTTTTATGATTTCCGATAGCCTGAAACAAATAAATAAAAATTGTTCAACAGTAATCTCGAAATAACACATACATATGTAACACAAACAAGTTATCAGTTAATACTAACCTTACAGTGTTTATCCGGACTTTTTTTAAATATTTTTGACATGTCTAAGAATAAATTTTCTTGTTATAATTACAATGTTACTCTCAAATTGCGCGATTAATATATTTACTTCACAGAATAAAAAAATGAGAAAAAATGTTTGACCTGCAAAGAAACGGCAAATGATATCACCATCCACTGTTGCCATGTCATAAATACATAAAAGTTCCAATTTGAGGACCAATGGAGGTAAACGAAAAGACCTTAGATCGGTTAATCCGAGTTTCAGATTCCCTTGACTATAAAAATAAACAATCTTAGTTACTATAAAACCTGCAAAGTTCTATCAAACAAAAATTAGGTTTAATAAATATTATTTACTGACAAAACTTACATTTATATACCTAGTTCTAGAGAAAAAAAGCTAAGATTGCAACATTGGTATCATCGCCAAATCGCAGAACAAATAAAAGTAGGTAGGTTCACAAAACACATAATAGTGTAGGTTAGTGTCAGGTGAAAACATAGGTCTTACTTAAAGGTCCTGCTCATAAATAACTTCCTTATTGACTTTGATATAAAATATATCAAGTACTCAAGCAGGTACGCAAGGATGGTGTAGAATAAAAAATATTTACAAAACGTTTTTCACCCATATAATCCTGAACTTCCACTATCTATACTTACCATATTGCATAGAAAATTAAACCTACTGTGACAACTTTTGGTGTATTTACACTGCAGCCGTGTCTTTTCGAACGCACTCTAACTGAGATATCGGCCGATAATGAGAATTTCATTTTGGACATTTAAATCGAAGAGAAACAAAACGTCTGAAATTTTAAACGCCATTGCAATAGTTGAGTTGTGAAAGTGATTTGTGTTGAAATAAGTATTAAAATGTTTTTTTGTTTTTACAGTATTATTAAAGTTTAGTAAATTTCCCTCAGTAAAAGCGAGAGCTTGAAAGTTATAAATTGTGTCGAGTTTGAATCATCATAAAAAGTAAGTTTGTAGTTTTTTTCGTATATAAAAAATATTGCATTCTTCATAGTTGATAGTAAATTTGCAGATCAAAACAGGATTTCTTTAAAATTATTTTTTCTTGTTTCACACTATTCATTACATTTTTTACTTTATATATTTACATTACTTTAAACCAAATTATTTTAACATTTTTAATATCTCATAGAAATATGGACACAAAAAGTTCGCTGACTTTAAAAAATCCAAATTCCAAGTTGTCACCTATTACCCCTTTCTCACCTGGTAACAACCCATTTGATGATTTGTGGAGAAAAACCATAGATGCAGTTTCCATGAGCGAACAAGTAAATCGAAGATCTTCTATTGGACTCTCTGAAAACTTTTTAAATGATGGTAGGAAATCACTGTCATTTTGTGATTTAAACGCAAGTGATTTCGGTAGAGAATCGATGGGCATTTTACCTCCAGATTTTGGAAGAGATTCTTTGGGTTTTATGAATATAAATACTTTAGAGACAGACCGTGAATCGTTAGGTATAGTACAGTTTAGAGAATCACTCAGTTTTAGAAGGGAAAGTCTGGGTATTATGAATTTAAAAGATTTGGGCAGAGAATCCTTAGACAGCGGTAGAGAGTCATTAGGGATATTATATGTGAAGTCGCCGGACGTCAAGTTTGGAGACGAAGAGAAAAGAATCCCAGATATTATACTTTCAACTATAGAGGAAAGTATTGGAGAGTCGTCCAATGTCTTGGACACGGCGTTTTTGGAACCATGTTCCAGAAAATCCTCGGCTTTATCTTGTTCATCGTCTGTGAATCCTTCTTTTAATAGCCTCAGTTTAGAGGGCCCTTCGAGGATATATTCCGTGTCCTCCTTGAGAAATTTTAAAGATACGATGAATTTAACATACTCTAATAGTTCCGGGTTGTCTTCCATTCACTCGCCTTTGAACAAAGGCAAGATATTTAGCCCAGGCGAGCTAGGTCTACGATCGAAGATTCAATCAGTGCCCGAGAGTTTCCAGGGGCAACTTTCTCCTCTATATCACAGGAGGGAATATGGAGATGCGTCTGAGAGGAGATTCTGGAGTGCAGATAGGACTTCCTGTTTCAGAAGTTTGGAAAGGAGTTTTCATCGAGCCATAGACTTCAAGGAGGCCGATATTAGCTCCGAGTTTGTAAGTTTTTTTTTAACTGTTTTAAGCTACCTTTATATACAGGGTGTTTTGTAATGAATGGGCCGCACTGTAATGGTTGCTTCCTGGACAAATTATTAAGAACTATTATGGCAAAAAAATATTTTGAATTTTTTTAAAATTTAAATTCAGACATCAGTCATGGAATTTGAAGATCTTTTCTTTTTAGTGAATTTACAAATTTATTTTGCATTTTTTTCTCAATTTTTCCAATTTTTTTGTTTTTATTTTCGAATCAAATATTTTAACCTAACCCTGTATATGCCGAAAACTGAAACTTCCATAAGAAATTCTCGGAGTATAGTTTAATATTCCTTATTTTTCTAGCACGATTCAGTATTTATCGAAGGCCATATTCTTGCAGAAAAAATTGCAGATGGGTCCATTTTAAACGAATGTAAGTCTAAAAAATCTATAACTCGATTCAATTATTATTAGTAAAAAAAGAATTTACAATAAATAACGAGCTAGGAAATGTATGAACCAACGAAAAAATTCAATCCACGTTCTTCTTTCAGCATCCGTTGGGGAAGTGGGTGTTTTGGACAGTACGCCCCAACCGGATTGGCCCAACGATCTCAGCTACAACGACAATAAAAGTAATGAACACACGAAATCTGATACTGAAACCGTATTTAAAACTGTCGATAAAATGCTCCCTACATCTAACATCCTTGACATGAAGTTCAGAATATCGAAGACTGACAGCAATTCTTCCAACGAATGTGGAGCGAAGGCGAATCAAAGCGAGCCCTCTCAGACGAGCGAACTAGTGCACAATATATCGGATATCCATCACGAACCGAGGAAGGTTTCAATGAATAAAAAAGATTCGAAACAGATCCTAGAGAATCTGTCAGAGTTGTTAAACAGCACCAACCGTAGCGATAAACAGAAGTCTGAGGGCAAAAATTTGTTGAACAGTCTGGCGAATCTGCTGGGTGAGGGTAAACCCGGCCTGAGGAATGATCATGATGATTCGGGTAATTCGTCTATAAACGAACACTCTGATTCCCCGAACAAAGAAAATCACGAGTTCTTCGAAGTCTTAGATTTACGAATTAAAAGCACCGACGATCTAAGCTCTAAAGTAAATTCTACCAGAGGCGACCCGTTGGATTTGTCCTTAAAATCGAAGCGGATCGAGAGTCTCGTAGGAAAACGACTGTCGCAATCGTGTTCGTCGACTCCGAATATTAAACTTGCATCTCAGACCGAAAAGAAGAATGCATCTACGTCGAGCTTAGACATGAATAAGAATAAAACATCGAATTCGTCGGTCGCTAGTAATGACAGTAAAAATACCAGTAACGTTAAGCTTCAAACGTCCGATAAATTCAAGCAGAAACACTACGGTTCTAGTATGAAAAAGGGGCCGATGAAAGCCGTAATTCCCGTCGGGGACATGAAAAAGAAAAGTAAGTGGAATATTTCACTATCTGGAAGAGTTTTTGAATTGAATGTGATAAATTTGTTTCAGATAACTCGACGGGTACCCCAGAGAAAAGCGAACTGTTAATATCGTCTATGCAATCAAAGAGGACCAGTACACCCATAAATGTAAGTTGGAATAGGAAAAGATTACAAACACGGGTTAAGATATCGTTTATTTAAATTAATATTCATTGATTAGCTTTTGGAAAAAATTAACAATGTCCGGCCATTAATATAAAAAATTTTAACAGGACATAAAAATCTGGTGGAGTAGTTCAAACGTCCTAATGTTGCAGATTGTAGTTAATTCTGAATCGGGGCACTTTCCTTATTATTAATTCCATTTTATTTTTCTTATGTTTTTAACAGTACATTCTTTTATTCCTTTCGTCCTCCTTTTTTTATTCTAACTAATTATCTCCGAATATCTAAAATTGCGATCCCTACAAATTTCTGAATAGGTAATAAAAAAAAATATATTTCACAGGACATGAAAAATCTGGTGGAGTAGTTCAAACGTCCTAATGTTGGTTGAATATTTTAGCTAATTCTGAATCGGGGCACTTTCATTATTACTAATTCTATGAAAACATATTTTATGTTTTTAACAATACATTCTTTAAATCCCTTCGTCCTTTTTTCATTCTAATTATCTCCAAATATCTAAAATTGCGATCCCTACAAATTTCTGAATAGGTAATCAAAAACAATTTATATTTCACAGGACATGAAAAATCTGGTGGAGTAGTTCAAACGTCCTAATGTTGGTTGCAGATTTTAGCTAATTCTGAATCGGGGCACTTTCATTATTATTAATTCTATTTTATTTTTCTTATATTTTATGTTTTTAACAGTACATTCTTTAATTCCTCTTGCCCTCCTTTTTTATTTTAATTAATTGGAATATCTAAAATTGCGATTCCTGCAAATTTCTGAATAGGTAATAAAAAAAAATTTATATTTCACAGGACATTAAAAATCTGGTGGAGTAGTTCAAACGTCTTAATGTTAGTTGCAGATTGTAACTAATTCTGAATCGGGGCACTTAATTTTTTTTGCGAAAAGCAACCAAGAGATAGAGCTGTTTCTGTTCAGTTAAGGCTACTGCAAAGACGTGTCTTTTCTTAATTTTTCTTCATGTGTCAATTAAATGTAACACCTTATAATAGAAGTGATATGATTTGCATTTTGCAGAATATCGATTGAATTTAAAGAATTCTTATAGTTGTTGCTCTAAAATCACCCTTGATAAAGGCCAACAACACGTAAAAATTAAAATTATATGTAAAACATAATACAAGTAAAGAAAATGTTAGAATAAAAAGGTATTCCAGTCCTATTTGAGTTTTTAGATCATAATTTTTTTTAATAGTTCCGATGCCTCCAGAGTACCTGTTTTATCTATTTACAGGAGCCGAAATTGAAGCCCATGGCTGCGTCAACCCCTACCATTAAAGAGACCCGTTCTTCTTTAAAGGATTCCAAAAATAACAGAATTCCCTTGTCAGCGGCAAAAAAACCAGACGCAAGGTAAAAATAGTAACAAGACAGTGTATTGAATACAAAAAAGAGTTAAATTGACACGTCAAAGTAATGCGGGAGCAAAAAGTACAACAGAAACAATTCCTGCGATAAACTTTTTTTACAATTTCAGCAACAGCTTCGCTCGAGCTAGAGCCTACACCGCGGCTAGTCTACCCAGACCGTCCGTGACGAGCACGGGTCCTATACTAAGAAGGAATTCCGTGAGCGACTTTAAGAAACCTGCGCCAACGTTGCAAAGAAGAAATTCGGCTGAAACGGAAAGCGGTGTTATGTCTTCGGTGACTAGGGTGAGGCAGAGTCTCGGCGTGCCTTATCAGCAGCAGAAGCAAAATTTTGGAGTCGGAAGTAAGGTTGTGCCCGAATATAGGGGAAAACTAGCGGAAAATAAACATTTGCCGGTGGCTAGGTCGAGCAACTTGGTAAGTAAAAATTGAGACACGTAATATTTTTTTGTGTTTTTGATGTTTTTCCTATTTCCGCTATTTCTAACATTTTTTTTATGTTTTCATCAATTTCGAAGCGACATTTTTAATTTTTTCAAGTTTTAGGTCCAGAACTGTCTAGAAAAATTTTTTAAATGTTAAATGAATATTACTCTATTGCAAAGTTAATTCAAACAAATTCAAAAAGTTTTTCAAAAAAATCTTATCCAACCTACCAGAAACTGCTAATTATAAAAAAAAATTTATCTTGTTTTTGTTGTTCTAATATTGCCCGTGGCAAAGACCGATGCGTAAAATTAGCTGCTATAGAACGATCTTCCTGTTTCCACATTACAAATGCAATTAATAAATATAAAATTATTAATTAAGTAATTCCATAATTGCAACTGTAAATGTTAACACGATGTTTTTACCTTTTGCAGATATCTAAACATAAAAAACCCGGCAAGGAAAACGTTGCCAATTAGGATTCTTTTGAGCGCAATGACACAAAATTAATTTTATTATTAATTTATTTTAAGTATTAATTGTGATAATCGGGGCTGCTACTAATATATTTTTCTACTTTATATTTTTTTAAAATTTACATTTTATTAAAGATAATGAGGAACTCAATAATTCGTTTCATTTTTTACATCCCTTTCACGAATTGAAAAATGATCCAATTATTGAAAAATCGCCAGACTTGAAAAGCCTTTGTCGGTATCGATTTTTAGATTACCTTAAATTTTGGACTTGTAAAATTTTGATGAAAAACAGAAAATTTGTTTTTTTAGGATTTGAAATTTAACGCAAGTAAAAAAGTAACTCCCGACAAGCAAAAAGAGAACTCGACAGCTACAGAGTCCTCGTCAAAAACTATCCCAAGGTATTTTAAGTGTTGTTACAGTAAAACGTTGGTTATTCGAACTACTGCGGCCCGTCAGATAATATGCCGCCCCTTCCCCACACAAATCTCCAGCTTCTCGGCGGGTGTTTGCAAATAGAATGAATTGATTCTAGTAGTACTTTTAATAAATGATGTACAGGGTGCACCAAATCTGATGAAATTTTGGGTTATCTCCGAATACAGGGTACCAATCTAGAAAACTATTTCACTTTTTAACCGTTATGAGTCAAAATGGGTAGTCTATACAAAATTTTGCCCCGTTTTTCTCGGTGTGTCATTTCTATACTTATTTAAGATCAAAAGTTGGAAAAATTCGTATTTTTTACGCAAAAGACACATTTTCTAAGACCGAGTACAAATGATTTAAAATTTGTCAGCTATTTAGTCTAGAAAAACAAATAAACAACAATCTAATATAAAGAAAGATAGAGCAATATTTTATCGAGTCATTTCAAGGAAAACTTGCCTCGAAATCCCATAGAATTTGTCACACCCCTACATACATCTTTAAGAAATTTTTTTTGCAAAATTTAGCTCTATGTCGCCAGTAAAAGGTGAACATTATAGTCATACGATTTTCATGCAAAATATGAATTGTAATTAACGCTTTGGTTAATCTATATTCGTATAATCAACGTTTTACCATGTTTTAATCCGTTTTGTCAAAAAGAGTGGCTTATGCGTTTTTATAGCCCTCGACAAAGAAAACGTATGGCTTCGGCATCTCCTCAAGAAAAAGCTAAGACGGGATCGTGCGAAAGGAGAAATTCGCTAAGTCGGGCTGGGCAAAGTAACGAAGGCAACATTACTAGGAGAAATTCCATTGGAAATACATCGGGACTTATGTCGTCTCTTGCGAAGATCAGGCAGAATATGCTGCAGTCGCCCTACTTCTGTTTAAAGAAAGAAGAAGCTTTGAATGAAAATTATATTTTGTCGGAAAACAAGGGATCGGGCAGAGTCATTCCACAAGTAAGTAGATTTGATTAAAAACATAGATCATCGTTTGGACATTATTTTTTTCATAAAATGTTCACTATGCTGCACGTTTCGTAAAAATCTTCAGTATTTTTTGACCAAAAGTTATTCTTTCATAATTTTTTTTTTTAATAATATGTACACTTTGTAAGTGGGGACCAAATTCAAGTTAATTTTTTCGTGGACGATTACTGCGATGTTGATAATCTCTTTTTTTAGTCATTGGGATACCGACGAGTACCATTTGGTATCCAGGTCATAAGTTTAAGTACCCGATACCTGTTATTTACTCTTTACCTGTTGTCCGTTATTTACCCGCTACCCTAATTAAGGCACTAAATGCAGGAGAAAAAGTTTTTCCCCTGAAATTTCAAACACCCTGTAGAGTATACCGGCTAAAATGGTTGCTTTTTCAGTTTCCTCAATTAAAGAAGACTGGCAAAGAAAATACCGAGAAGTAGACTGAAATTTTGAGATTATTAATTTTATATGTTAACAATTTGTTTAATTTGATTAATTCTATGATAATATATTTTATGTTTTTAACAGTACATTCTTTAATTCCTTTTGCCCTCCTTTTTTATTCTAATTAATTATCTTTGAATAACTAAAATTGCGATCCCTGCAAATTTCTGAATAATGGATATAATTGAAATAATTCTTTACTACGAGATTGTCATTTTATTATTTTCTGAATAGGTAATCAAAAAAAAATTATATTTCACAGGACATTAAAAATCTGGTGGAGTAGTTCAAACGTCCTAATGTTAGTTGTAGATTGTAGCTACTTCTGAAACGGAGCACTTTCATTATTATTAATTCCGTTTTATTTTTCTTATATTTTATGTACATTCTTTAATTCATTTTGCCCTCCCATTTTATTTTAATTAATTAATCTAAAATTGCGACCCCTGCAAATTTATGAATAGGTAATCAAAAAAAATTTATATTTCACAGAAATTAAAACATTAAAAATCTGGTGGAGTAGTTCAAACGTCCTAATGTTAGTTGTAGATTGTAGCTAATTCTGAATCAGGTCACTTTCATTATTATTAATTCTATGCAAACATATTTTATGTTTTTAACAGTACATTCTTTAATTCCCTTCGCCCTCTTTTTTTATTTTAATTAATTATCTTCGAATATCTAAAATTGCGATCCCTGCAAATTTCTGAATAGGTAATCAAAAAAATTTATATTTCACAGGACAATAAAAATCTGGTGGAGTAGTTCAAACGTCCTAATGTTAGTTGTAGATTGTAGCTAATTCTGAATCGGGGCACTTTCATTATTATTAATTCTATTTTATTTTTCTTATATTTTATGTTTTTAACAGTACATTCTTTAATTCCCTTCACCCTCCTTTTTTATTCTAACTAATTATCTCCGAATATCTAAAATTACGATCCCTGCAAATTTCTGAATAATCAAAATAAAATTTATGTGATTGAACAAGGAATGGATATAATTGAAATAATTCTTTATTACGAGATTGTCATTTTAAAATATTTATATGTACATACAAGTAATGAAAAATATTTATTTGCTGTACGTCTATATTTCACAAACTGTCTTGGTCGTTTTCCCAAGCCAATATTTTATTCATATTCGCTATGCTTCTCATACTCCAAGGTTCCAAGGGATCTGGCGATTCCGAACCCTCGGATTCCTCCTTGTCGTTAGCCGATTTACAGGGCCTTTCTTCTATTTTCGGCGCAACCCTAAAAAATGTTGAAATACGAGCAAATCGCGTATTGTAGGAGTAAATTTCAAAAAATTCTTCGATATTTCAGAAATTAAACCTTTAGTTTACATCCTCGGTTACGTATAAGCATCAGCATTAAACGAAACCTTATCATAAACGACGACTGCTGTGTAAACACTTACCTGTTCGTTTTAGCGGTTTTTGACCTCATCTTCCGCTTTTCTTTCACGTTTCCAGACTGCGGCTCCACCCCACTTCCAGATCCCTGGACTTTGAGTGTTTGAGAAAGCGTCACAGATCTGTAATATCGGAGATAAAATTTTGAAACAGGATACCCCTAAGTAAAGACAAAAGTCTCGCAGAGTAGACCCTAAGTCCTCGCATTTAAAAAATATTTTAAAGATAGGCCTAAAATTATTATTATTGGTTTAACATAGAAAGTAAACACCGAAAAATTAAAAAAACACTCATAAAAACGTAGACTGCATTAAATGAAACTGGGAAAACAGATTTTAAAGCTACAGTAACTGTCCAAAGTGCCTACCAAAAAGTAATCTAAGAATCCAATTGCCTCGCATCGATAACTTGCAAAGGAGCACGGATTGGAAAACAATAAAAACAACAGAAGCAATTGAATTTGTTCATACTGACACCAACAGATGGGGTTATGTTACTGGATCATTAGGCGTCAATTACACATGAAGAAAAACGGAATAAATTATATGTTTTTATTTTGTTTTTTGTTGAAAACTTTGTATATTTACTTACAATTGCTCCTCTTCCATAGAAACGTGTACATTGACGGGTGTCGTCGGCACAGTTTCTTCCTTTTTCACAGTCGCGGTTATTCTTGGGTTAAAGACACCTAAATCTGTGCCAATTTTTGCCCGTTCCTCGATACGTGCTGTATCCGTCGAACTTGAATCGGATTCTCTAACTAACTTTCTTTTATCGGATAATTTGGATTTGGCCGAAGTATTGCGTAATCGTGCCGATTTTGCTCTTCTTATTCTCGATATTTTCCCCAATAAAGGACCCTCTGAAACATGTTCAAATCGAAATAATCATCGTTTATATTCAATGTAATATTATTAAAATATATTTTAAAAGTTTGTGTTAATAATAAATAAATTTAGGTGATTTTACCTCCGAACCACTCGCTATCACTAGGCTCTAAAGCGGAATACTTTTTCTTCAGGTTTTCCTCCATTTTCTTTACGAACGTTTCGGTACCAGTAAAAATTCCAGCCAGACTTTTTACGCTTTTCGGGGCCTGACTGAAGGTCACGGCGTTATCTTCTGCCTTCACTAGATTAGCCGCCGACAAAGCCAAAAATTTTAATTTTTCGGGATCGGCGTCTTTATCGCTCGAACAAAGAACTAGCTCCCTAAGAGGATCTTCTACCTTCACAATGCTAGGCGCAAATTTATTAGATGGGGGACAAAGTTTTTGAACGGTTAATTGGGGTATTTGAGTTACGGCTTGCGGTTTGGCCCCCGTTTGTGTCGGTATGAAGGCTTGAGAATCTGTGAGCTGTGTAATAGCTCCAAACATGCCTGAGCCTGCAAACGGAAGTCATTTTTTGGGTTAATCAATATTTACGAATTAAATAAGAAAGTATTTTCAATTTCGTTTTGCTGTCAAAATTTTGTTTGTTGACAAAATTGAAGAAAACTGAAAGAAACTTTAAAGTAGGGAAAACTAAAAAAAATATAATAAATAAAGGTGCTTACCGCCATTATCCGTTACAATATTTTTACACTGCTCAGTTAGAGCAATATTCTTTTGGTTATTCATAATAACGCTGTCTTGAATTTGCTAAAAAAAATGTATTGCCTTGTACTTTAGTATATTTGTATATTAATTATTACTTAATACCTGTTTTTGACTAGCAACGTTGTTCTCCACAGGTGTTATGTTGTTAGGTAGATTTAAACCCATCACATCTAAAGCTGTCGTTAGAGCGCCTCCAAACCCTTCAGTTATATTCAGAGCTTGTGGATCCGTTACAGGCCTGAAATATAACAAAACCGTTACTGTATCGTTTTAGGTGATATGTTTTGAGTATGAGTGAGATATAACCTATAAAGCATGTCATATCTTAAACATCATAGCTGCTCGATGCCTACTTGCTTTGTACTTTTGTACCTACTGCAAGAGTGACCTACTATTAGTAGGTCGTTCTACCAGTAGGCATCCAGTAGCAATTGCATATAATTTATAGGTCATATTAGTGGAAATGATATTTACTTTTTAACTTTATTTGGAGTGTTGATGGACTCTCTGCCCCACATCAAGCAACGCATTTCTTCACCCGTCAATCCTTTCTTCTTTAAAGCGTTTATGGTAACTTTTCCGACCCTCTGAAAGTATTCCTTGATCAAATATTCCTTTTCTCAAAAACCTACTTACTTTCCAGTTAGCTACGGCTCCCTTTCTCTGCTTGGCTCTGGTCTTATTCTTCGACTTTATTATCATAACGCCGCGTTGTTCCGCGCTAGGATCCTCACTTGGCCCCAACGATATACTGTATTCTTGTAGGTAGTGATGTGCGTCGGATTGTGGGATGGCTCTTTCCAGAGTTATTACGATCTTGGCCCACTAATAAAGCAGGTTGAAAAAGGCGGTTTTTAGCGAAATTTATTTATTACGTACCTGCTTCATCCATTCTTTTTCACTTTGTTCGATAACGTGAGCGTAAGTGTTACCCATCATGGCGATCAACATGTTTAAAAGTAAAATCGGGACGAATACCATGAAAAGCCCAAAAACGCTCTTTGCTACGCCGGGGTAAGCTGTAGATCCTAATTCTTGATACTAGAAGAAACATTTTTAGATAATAATCAAATAAATACCCTATTAAGAAAAGGAGAAGGTACCACTCACTATTTTAACTAACGATATCGTGGAAAGCAAATATGCAATCTTGAAAAAAAGTTCATTGTCATACTTTCACAGTATCTAGAGTAGGTATTTGACATATACTTTTATAGGTTACATCTCACAGAGCGACCTACGCCAGTAGGTACAAAGTAATGCTTTGTGTCAGTAGGCATTAAGTAGCAATGATGTTTATTATTTGACATAAACTTTATAGGTTATATTTCACAGAGGAACCTACGTCAGTAGGTACAAAGTAATGGTTTTCATAAGTAGGCATTTAACATACGATATATACTTTATAGGTTATATCTCCCTCAGTGACCTAATCCAGTAGGTACAAAGTAATGCTTTGTAGCTACTGTAGCCAGTAGACATCGAGTAGCAATGACATTTGTTTTATAGGTTATATTTCACAGAGAAATCTACACCAGTAGGTACAAAGTAATGTTTTAGGATATGACATATACTTTGTAGGTTATCTCATTCACATGGTACTACTATATAAAGCTTCAGTAATACTTACGTCATAATTCCCTAAAGTGATTTGAAAAAGTGCCATCCAAGTCGAAGGGTAACTGTGATAGAGGGTCGAATTCACTCCCGGGAAACCCTTATACAGGAAGAAAAACGACTGTGAAAAACCGAACAGGACTATAGTGTAAATGATGCCAAAAGTTAACATGTCTCCAGTTATCATACTGTAGATCATCGTGACGAATGGTCCAGTAAGGCGCACAGCCCTGTAAATAAATATGTATGAGATTGTAAAGGAGAATATGTATAAGCCCGTTTACCCCGCAAAGAACATCAACAAGAACCACGATCCCGGAACGGCGAATAGCAGTATAGCTTCTTCCGTTTTTCTATCGCCAGACAAACGACATGGTATACATGCTAGTATCAACAAGTTCGATATGAGGAAAATAGTTTTCGGGGGAGAATTCGACTGAAAGTAGTAATGTTACATATTATTTATAATCATAAAACAACGTGAAATGATTGTACGTGGAAGCGCAAATGGCTCCATCTGTCGTGCTGACTACCAACTGTGCCATTCAAATGGCTACAGTAGAAAGCAACCTACTATATTGCAGGTACTTGTTGCACGACTGCCACCCACAGAGGGCGAAGACAAGGTTTTAATTGTCAGTGTTGCGAGAAACAACTACTCAGGGGGCTATATGCAACTATATGCCTGGTGGGTTAAACTGACGAACGACCCTAGCTGTTGCGCTAGGTGTCGCGAGTATAATTCAATGTCGGTAGGGGCATTAGACCTCGGAGTAGTTGCTTCTTGCAACACTGACAATTAACAACGTGAAATGAGTCTAGGCTGACTCACCTGTTGCTTTAGAAATGTCCACAGACCTTGGTTCCTTATTTCGTCGCCTTGCTGGAATATTACGTAACTTAACACCCCAAGTATCGTGCCTACTTCGCAGCAATATCTAAAAAATTATATATTTATAATCGTTATAATCATAGTAAGGAAAAGACTTCTTTGAATGACGTTACCTTGCTATTACTGTGGGGTCTTCGGTCAGTAGTAACAAAGGTTCGTCTGGATCGTCTGGCCTCAAATATACAGCCAACGACATAAAAATCAAATGAACTACCAGTATAAGGAGTCGTTTTAAAAATTGATTCTGAAATTGCATAGATTAGACGCTTATTTTAATCGGTGATATTCGTATATTATACCCTTGCAAAGGTTTTCCACTTTTCTTCTAATAACTTTTGAATAATTCCACCATCTAACATGTCCAAGTGTTCTTCCTTTGTTCCGTTTAAGATAATGAATAAGGCAGAATTCCAATCTAAAAAAATTTACTTAATTATTAAAATAATTTTCAGAAAACATGCAAAGTTTACTTGTACTCCCGTCGGGTAATAACGTATCCAAAGCATTCAAAGTATACGCCGAACAAGTTATATTACTGTATCTCCAAAATTCTTTTGCAGATAGTTCTAACATTTCTCTAAATACTTCCGCACGTCCTACAACGAAATACGTATAATTTACTATCGTACGGCATTGTCAAAAGTTTACTTACCGAGTTTGCATGCCAAAGTTAAAGGTGTTAACCCAGCTTTGTTCACTATTCCGTTACTAGCGGGTAATTTTGGATGCCTCAACGCATATCCAAACATATCCTAAAAATAAATATTAGCCGTGTTATGTGTCACATAGTTAGAAAGTCAGTCAAATTCAGGAATCAAAATATAGACGGTGACCCTGCCATAAGATCTCTATCATCCTTATGTGGGGTATGAATAAGGGCGACAAGGATTTTACGTGAGTCGCCATCTAGGATTTTCATTCCTAAGTTTGACGGTTGTTTAACTGACACATAAACAACACTATTAGCGATTATGAATATATTTTGACAGATACCAATACTGTTTTTTTTTTTACCAATTTATCACAGACGACGACCATGTGTAGAATCATATTTCCGAAGTTATCTTGGTAGTCGGGATGAGCACCACTGTCGAGTAACAAGTTATATACACTCTCGTTGGCACAACACGCCGCCCAAGCCAGGGGGTATTCCCCTAAATACGCTAGACCCTCGTAATCGGTGTGTCTAGCGGGCTTGGGACGTTGTTGGTCTCTCGGAATAAAAAAACTACCTAAAAAAATGTTATAACAAAGTTATTTTGTACACGCCAAAAGTAAAATAATCTCACCGATAGCTCTTTGATTTACGTTTGCCCCCGCCTCAACCAAATCTTGAACTAACTCGTTGTTATTATAAGCTATCGCTAGATGCAATGCGCCGGCTCCTAGAAAATAACAAGGTTATGCAAGGTCTAACCAGATTTCTCAAAAATAACTGTACCTAAGTATTCCTCTCCTTCGACTACATCTAAGGCAAGCTTCGGGAAACACTTAATAAGCGTTCTAGCCAACCTCGTGTGAATTTTCGTATCGCATATGATCAAAACGTGCAACAGAGTTTCGCCCAGCGAACCCCGGTACTGCATTTGCCAGCACGCCTCGTGATCCACCCACTTTCCCAGCGGATCGTATCGGCTTAAAGAGGCCTCGATGGGTAAAGTCACCTGTTCGTGGTCTCTGAACTTCCAACGCAAGTATTCGGAACGATTTATGATCTGGCCTTTTCCGTCTTGGTACATCAGCTGGCCGAATTGTTCCCGGATTAGTTTCTCCACTTCTATTTGGCCCCCTGCGCTATAGGCATCGATCAGTTCACCACCTAAAGCAAATCGTAACTCGTAGACAACGTAAAAATGACCCTCAGCGACGAACTTTTATTTTGTATCTTAAAGTCTTAAACAATCCAGGAAATCCTGGACTTACCTTTTTTGTAATTAGCTAATTTATACAACAAGCACTGGTCTTGATTGGAGGCTTGACTGATAACTCTGTCTAGTATGGAGCCACCTTGAAAAGTCTTCTTCTTTCTCTTGCAAGGTTTGCAGCTGATGGCACCCATCTTTGCTATTGGGAATGTTCAAGTGTTTTCCTCCATTGTTTTTAATCAATAAGAGGTCACGGTGAAGAATTTATGTCAAGGTGTGTATGCCTGGTGGTGCCTGGTACTGACAAACAACCCCACTAGTTTTATGAATGGCTGTTTTTTTATTTTCTCAGAACTTGTGAATAATGCCTGTTTGTTCAGGGCTATTATTTCCGACATACTGAAATATTGTTGAATAGTTTTTAATTCGGATGAAGGTGGTGATCTTGATATATAAAGGTCAGATTTAAAATGTTTCCTTATAATTAAAAAAAAAACTGTCAAGATGAATGTCTATTCCAACTACTTTTTGATTTATTTGGATTTAATTGAATATAAAAATTTAACAGATACTATCTTAAATTCTTCTTATTTTGGTATTTAAGGCATAAAGCATAAGTTCTATATTCTGTGTTTCAATCACCACCATTTTTCAAACTGTTCGTCTGTATCTGTCACTTAATAATTAATGAATTATGATTATCTCGAAAATTATACGGTGGCCGCCACAAAGTTTGCATCTTGGTTTTCTCTAAATGAGAAATATGTATGTTCATTTGATTAAAAAAAATGTAATTTAGAAAATGTCATTATTTTAATCATTGAAGAAATATATTTTGAAAATATGTGGAATTTTTGGTTAAATTGTAATAGTTATGGGTTGAGAAGTGTTTAGTTTTTAGATACAGGGTGTCCAAGTTAAATTTCTTAAAAAAGTTTTTGGTCTGTATTTAAAATACCTAAAGAAAAACATGGGTACTTTTTATCCATTGTAGCAAAAAATTATAACTATTATAAACTAGAATTAGTCAGTGGCGGGCAAAACTGGGCCCGGATAAAATTTTGCTCCATCTTTCTTAACGTCAGATTTTTTGGTTTATTTAAACCAGAATATAAAATAATTCATAAAAGAACCAGATGATTTTTGTGTAAAGTAAAGTTTTCTTTCAAGTTTTGGCCTTAAATAAGTGAAAAAATGTCGTATCAAGAAAAATTAGGCAAAATTTTACTTTTACTCCATTTTGACTTATTTTTAAGCGTTCTATAAATATTGTAATAATCAGTTTCAGGAATTACAAGTTGAAATGTCTTCCGATCCAAATTCATAAGACACTTTTTTTTATCTTGTAAAGTTTGCAAGTAGTTTCATTTAAGCGATGTGGGACATCCTAAATATAATGAAAATAAATCAATAACTTCAATACTTACCCATCGCTTTCGTCAAGTTTGACACTAATTTTATTAAATCATAAGAAATTGCATGTGAAATGCACCTTTTTCCCGATTAATGATACTTACGGCACCTAATTTTGTTGTTTTTTTTTGTCTTGCAAATCTTCAAATTTCTTTTATAAAGGGTGTAACTTATCCGAACGTCTAAAGGCAGATTCTACGTCACAAATTATTAATCGTGTTTAGGTATGAAAGATAATTCGATACATATATATTTAGTATGTTTATTATCTTTTTTATAAAATCACAAAAGTCAACGTACAACTCTAACAATTCACACGAAATTCAATCTAAATTGTGAAATTCTGACTTAACAATTGAAAAAAGTGTCGACTTAATAGTAAGTAATAATAAGAATAAAAAGAACCATTGCAACATTGTTATTAAAATTATTTAAACTTCAACAATTTCTACTTTTTAGTAGCGTAACCCTAAATGTATTTTGAAATTTAAAAGAAAGTACTTCAATCCAATTAATAAAACATTAATTTAAAATAAATAGTTAAATATGATTTTAAAATAAATACTAAACTCTAGAAAAAAAACTGAAATGGATAAAATAAATTAAAAAAAAGCAAACAACATTTACATATAAATAAATACATGTCATCTACATTACTTCTATAGTCGAATCATTAGATAATTGAAAATGAGTATTAAGGAAATAAAGTATACAATTTTTAATTTAACTTTTAGATAATAGAAACGAAAAATACTCATTACTTCTGTTACCAAATGATTATTTATAGGGTTATAATTATGAGAAAAATAACTAAAGTTCTCTTTAAAAAGCTATTTATATGAATAAACCTCAATTAAACAGACAATACGATTTAATAATAACTTGATATGACGTCTAGTTTTTCGGCTATTAAACAATTCCCGTGCCGGTTCCCACACCATCGTTTATACTTCTTGAAGTTCCGACAGACATATCGATAACACAGCGATATGTCAAGCGAAATGTCAAGAAACCTAAACCGACGTAGCAACCAGCCCCGAAATCAATGAATCATAAACAATTGCTTGGCAGCCTGCAAACCGATCTAGTTCTTTTGAAATAAATTCATTTGCCCTTTTTGTAGTTTCCTTTTGTATACACTTGTATTATAATTGTCTTGTACATATAGTTTGCAAATTGAGCACAATACCCTTTAACTTTGCTCGTCCCTTTAGTTTAATAATAATAATAAAAATATAAAAGTCAAAAGTCGAAACAATATCGTAATGTCATGAGAGTACACTTAAAACTTAACGTCTGAAATTATATTGGTTCTGAACTGGTAGGAGATGCAATGGAAGATGAAGGCCGATCAAGGTAATATTCATTAACAGGTGAGACAGATGTTCTACCTAATCTGGATGTTTGAACGTGAGGACTGTATCTAAAAAATATTAAATCGATAACTATGTATTTTTACAGTCTTGTAAATATTTATTATAATTTGGTACTTGTTTCTTACGTCTGATTTATATACGCCAATTATTGATCCTATAGATATGTCAGTTTCAATAAATTAACAGATAAATTAGAGACATTATAACTGACTCTAATTTTTGGGCCAATTTTGGTAACTTTTAGTGACTTTTAATATTTCATAGTACCAATTTTAGTTACATATTACAATTTCCGCATTTGTTTTTATTAAACATTTAAATAAGGTTAAGATTTGTACATGATGCAACAAATGTGAAAATATTGCAAATAGAAATAATAACTGGCTGTAATTTATTAACTGATTTTAGTAACTTTTAGTGATTTTTAATATTTAATAGTACTAATTTTAGATACATATATTCTACAATTTTGACATTTGTGCTTATTAAAAATTTAAATAAGGTTAGGCATGTTAAAAAAAATCATGGGAAAATATTTTTGCAATTGGAGAAATGTAACTGGTTAATTTATTTGTTGATTTTAGTAACTTTTAGTGATTTTTAATATTTAGTAGTATTAATTTTAGTTACATTCTACAATTTTGACATTTGTACTTATTAAATATCAAATAGGGTTAAACCTAGTACTGTTACAATAAACGCGAGTAGTTATTTTTGTATCTAGAACAGAAAATGGTAGTTTTGCGTTCAAGAATGGAAAAATATCCATTCGAGAATGCAAAAGCTTTCACGTTTGAGATGCAAACAATTTTTTTTCGAAAACTGCAATAAAATAAGACAATAACAATTTAATTTATATTTGAAATCGTTTGAATTGTGTATAAATCAAGACAGTTTAGGCTCGGTGACTATCGTAACGATACCAACCTAATAAATAATAAAAATTAGTCGTTTGAAAAAGAAGTGTCAGAATTATACAGGGTGTTAAAAATTTGACTGCCTTAATTTTAACAGATGATATAATACATTAAAATATACAAAAAAACCTTATATGACATAGGTCCTAAACTCAACCATTTCCGAGAAAAAAATTATCAAAATATCCAACTTGATGTACAAAAGTTCGATTAATTAAGGAATATTGATATAACTGCGTGCATAGAATACCATAAAATACAATGTTTAAAATTTTTTTAACTTCTTTATGCTTAATTCTAAAAAATAATTAGCGTTGTAGTAAATTTAAAATTCAATAAAATTCATATCGAGCAATGTGACAACGGCACAGCGGATAACACGAATTTCTAAGCAATTCAACTGGTATCTGGAATTAGGCCGTGTCCGAGTGCTTTTTGCGTACCACTATTTCCTTTAGTTGAGGACATTTGAATTTTTTTCGAACTACACCATCCTTTGAATTCATTGTAGCTAAATGCTCATTTACCATTGGAAGCGGCACAAACTGTTTCACAATTAATCCCCAAAAAATCGTCAAGACAGTACGAGATTGCCTACAATGAATTCAAAGGGTGGTGCAGTTCGAAAAAAATTCAAATGTCCAGTGTCCGAACCGGTATAACTGGCAAATTTCAAACAAAATTAATAAAATTAAACCTTTGACATTATAGTCAGTATATTCCATGTTAAAAAGTACACTGAATGTCAAAAAAATGTAAATACCAGAAAATTTCCAAAACTAATACCATACTTGAAAAGCAAATCAGTTGGATACCGTGCGAAACGAAAGAGGAAATTGAGAGATTTTTACAAGAAGTACCTGATAATAGATTTCTGCAAGAAAAGGTAATTTAAATTAATATAAATCAATTGATTTAACTTTTCAGATCATTTTAATAATTGGCGTTCGTGGAGATTTGAGAAGAGATAAGCTACTAAAAAAAAAGTATAAGAAGACTCACTTTGTCAACTGAAAATTTAATGAAAACGTTGACTTTTGATGACAGTTTTCGAAAAAATATTTTAGCGTAATCAGGAAAAGAGAGTTTGTATGAAATTTTGTGGTTCATATAAAAACAATACATTACTGAAAAATTTTAAAGTACACCAAAATTTATCCTTTTTCATTACGTGTATATTCCTACTATAACTGGATTTTTTTTAAGAATTACAAACTCCATTTAGCACACACAAAGAAATACTTACTTTCTAGATTTAGCAGTTGAGAGCAAGTCATCCAAAGTGTTATCTTCAGAATCAGAATAAATACAAGACGCAGGCCTACCAATTTTCGAACTGTAAGTCTGATAACGATTAGGCACGTTAACGTAATCGTTCAACAGCGACGAGCTCCTGCTGTATTTGTAATCCTTACCGGCGGGTTCCGGTATAGAAGACGTGTAGCTTGATCTACGCGGAGATCTGTAATCGTACGTTCTACGATCTAATGAGCAGTAATCCGTCGGCGACCTATAGCTTAAATCGAGATCTTTGTAGTTGTGGGTAGCGCTGGGTCTCCTTGGCCTCTTTTTCTCGTTGAATCTCGTGTAGAAACTTTTCCTACGGATTCTGTCGATAACGGATTCATTTTCGTCACCCGAATAAACATGACCGTTGGGAGATACAGGCGAAGTTAAGTCGTTCGTGTGGTGGAAATCCGAACACACCGACCACGAGTCGCAACTCAAATAATCCTCGCCGGGCGATAACATCGTCGAACTTTCGTCGGTGGTGAGGGAATTCCGGTTCTCCGCTTTGTTTTCTGTATCTACGGTGTCTATTACTACCAAGGGTTTGGTATTGCAGGGGATTTCGGAGAAGTCTAATTTAAGGCTCTTCCTGTCGGGTCGTTGTTCAGGATTGTTATCGGACACGTTGCCCTTGCTGGAATTTTTGGAGAACTTCGGGGGTTCGGGTAAGTTATCTAGATTTAAGCTACGTCTAAAGGAGTTTACGGGTAGTTTTGATTTAACTTTTGACTCTTTATCTTTTTCATTGTTTAAAACAGTATCACTTTTAGCACCATTGTATACATTTTGGAAATGCTTCACTTTGTCGAGGAGTAAAGAACGAGGCCGCTCCTTTTCCGAGTCGGTTTGCGGAGCTTCGATTTTAGCACTTGAATTCGTTTCTTTAGAATTGACTTTCTTAACATCGTCGTTATTTAAAATCACAGTCTCGTTAGTTTTATCACCTTCTTTTTCGTTACTCTTGTTCTTCCCGTTTTCTTTATTCTTGCTCTTCTTCAAGACCTTCTCTTTTTGTTTGTTGTCTTGCTCCTCGTATTTCTTAAACAACCCCAGAATTTTTGTGACAGATTTTCTAGACGCCTGCAATGGTTTCGAACCGGATGATATGTCTTCGACGGACACAGCTCTCTTTATCAGACCGGATTCTGTGCAGGGTTCTAGGTTTCTCGGCAGACTTTGTTCACGTAACCGCTTTATCGCACTTTCTACAGACGATTTTTTTTCTTGAAGGGCTTTAATTTCCTCAGGATTCTTGTTAGTTGCGTTATTCGTAGAACGGAACTTCTCCAACTTCTTTTCAATGGATTGCAACAACTTATTCTTATGTCCCTTATCCTCTTCATTAATATTCTTGTTTGTTAAGTTTTTATCTTCCTTTGTTTTCTCTTTCGAGTGTCGATTGAAGCCTTTGCGTAACTTAGTTATTTTCGATTCTTTCTCTGGGGACTCTTGCGGTTTCTCTTTCTGTATAAGATCAGACTTTTCTTTGCCTACATTATCCGAAGGGTAGCTTTTAGGTCGCGCGATTCGTGAAACCTTTTCCTTCTTCAATGTAGGAGTCGTATTTTCAGCAGCAGCTTTCACATTTACGTAATCATGCAAAACTTTCGCCGTATTAACGTAATCGTTATTCTGTGCACTTTTCGGGGCGGGTTCTTTAATTTTCGTGTTCGAATTTTGGGGTACCGAGACATTTACGTAATCGTGGATATTTTTAACGTTGTCCTCTAAATTTTTAATACTGTTGGAAATGTTGCTGAGCAAATTCTCGGTTTCTTTCACGGACTCGTCCTTAATTTGATCGGTTAACGGTTGTTGTTCCCTCGAAGCCGATCTTTCCCGGCGGAGGTTTAGTCTACCTTTTCTTTTATCTCTAATCTCCTTGAGCACCTTCTGCGTCTCCATTTCTCTTTCTTTTTTCTCTTTTAAGTAGACATTTTCTTCTTTGGGGGCTTCGAAAAAGTCCGGCCTTAAAAATCGAGACACCCTCCGAGTGGTACTGGACGGTCTTTTTATATCAGTCTTATTAGTGTCTGTCGAACTTGGTATGAAAGACGGTGTAGAATCATAAGATTTGTTCGGTGAATATCTGCTGTAAGAAGAGTCTGAGGAATATTTCGAATAGGGTCGTGAAACCGACGAGTCCGAGAGACCTTTTGAACTACTGTCGATGCTATCCGCCGCGTTTCGGTATGAAGATGACAGGCTTTCCGATAAACTAGATTCGGGGCTTTGTATGTCACATTTGGGGATGTACCCCTTGGGCTCCCTTACTGACAGCGATTTCGTTATTTTAGGTCTGCGAAAAGCGAATTTATTATCGCCTCTAGGTTCAGAACCAATGCTCGATGATCTTATGTTAAATTCGTAAGAAGGCGTATACTCCTCTCGACTGTTTTTAATTGGCAAAAAGGACTTTGGGGATTTTATATTTGATTCTTTTGATCGATTTAATTCGTTCTTCTTTGCACTGTCGTCTCTGCTAATAGAATTACGGTTAGTTTCGAGAGACAGACGTCTCGGTAGGGTCGACGACATTCTCTCTAAAGATTTTATAGACTTTGATGGTTTCACTGACTCATCGGAGGTGCGAGACGATAACGTTCTCTGTAATTTCCTTACTTCAGACGGGGCTAACTGTGAAAGCAACTGTTTTTGAATTCTCCTCGATAAGCCTGGTGTTAAGTATGACAAAGCCAAGGCGTCTTCGTCGGAGAGTTTCAATTTTTTTAAATCGAGGTCTGCTAAATTAAGGTTTTCCTTTTCTGACACATCATCTGAAAGAATATTCTCCTGTGAGTCGTTAGCCTATCTATTTAACGGAAAACTTAGAAGCAATTAAATCGACGTGGTCAAATATTTAATCGCAAATATACTTTTAATTTCTTCCAAGTTTTTAGGGCAAAAGAATGATTACATGCTTTAACAAACTTGCAAAAAAATATGTGTCGGACCTACCTTAACATGTTAGTGAATTTTTGGCACAAAACATCTGCTGCAGCTTGAAAGAAAAACACAAAACGACAAAAATTAGTAGAAATTAAAAAAAAAATAAATAAAAACGAGAATGCACTGCTCATGCGAAAGGACTCGGATTAGATCAAGTGACTGAGAATGGGGAATAGTATAAGAGTAAGAAACTTTTTGTTTTTTTCTTGGAATGCACCATAAGTACAACTTTCTGTTACGTTAAATGATTTGCCGATAACATTTTTGTTATTTATACATAAATAAATTTTCAATACAATTTTTTATTACTAAATCAGCGGCATACTTAAGGGAGAGCTAGAGATCTCTTTCACTTTTCTCGCTTGAATTTAGTTTTGAATTATCACAATTACGATATAATATTTCAGTCTTACAGTTTCCAATTTTCGAAATTTCACAACATATTACTGTTTAAATAAATTAGTAAATACTTTTTCGGATTAGGACCCCCCACCTTTAAATATTTCATTAATTTATTATAGGGCGCGATCGATTTAAAGATCATTAATCGTAGCTATAATAAATTTCATTTTCTATGTTCCTTTTTTTGTAAAATATCAGGCAATTTGCTTTATAAACGAGTAGAATAGGAAATGGTATATTTTTCATATTTGCCTGCAGTCCATATTTGTCTAAAAGTTGAATTAGTGCCCACACAAAGAAAATGATAGGAATAAATGAAGAAATCGGGATGATGTGTTACATTAAACCACACAAATTGATTGTTGCATTAACCACATTGAAATTCTATATATATATATTGGTTACGTTATAAAAATAAATTTAACAAAAGTTCAAGGACAATAAACAAAACAACAACAAAAGTACGATAATAATAAAATCAGGATATACAGGGACCCGAGATTTTCAGGCAGTGACAATAATATAAAAAAGTTGAAATACACAGATACGCAAACATTTTCGAGATGTAAGGTGACGAAAATTCTCTTTTTTGTCATCCTTATCTGTTTTACTTGTTTTTTAAATATAATCCATACAAATCTGTTATGTTGAACAGTATTTTGGAGTCTGACGAAATGTACTAATTGAAGTAACAAATTTTTAGAAATCAGTCTCTCTAGCCGCACAAAAAATTTTTCTTCTTTTGAGAAATGATTACTTCTATGTTCGATTCTGTAACGTTTTGATCTCGTGAATTTTTTTGTATCTCATGGTTAGCGTTTCTGTGACACAAAAAGCAAAAAATCGAACTTCTACAATTAATTTGTCATGTTTAAAACCTAAAATGAAGATAATCGCAATCAAAAAGTGTCAGGCGTTTCGTAGATAAAAAAATAGAATTACAATAATATCGGTCAGCTTATTTTTTTGTTTGACATTCTCCGTTAGCTTTGAATATAGTCATGTGTCAAAAATAAAGTTATCCTTATTCACAAAGCCCTAAATAGGTCAGCTATAAATTGTTTAAAAACTTTCTTTATAGAAAATCGCTCGTTTACGAGAACGACATCTTTAAATCACGATCACATTTTTCTGTAAAACTTTAATGATCTAAAAATATAATGATACTTTATCACCCTTATCTCAAAAATGAACTATCGCCTGTATAAGAAATCATTAATTTTTTACATAAATTTGAGAAAAAAGATATACGATAAAGTAATAAAAATACTAAAATAAATGGCTGATGCAACAATTACATCAATATAAAATAAAAATAACTAAGAACTACATTTTGACCTTCCAAACAAATGATCCACCTTAACGACAAACTAATTGTAAATGATTTCGTTTAAAGAATTTCTTAAAAGGGTTCTAAGATCATTCGTTGTAAGATCGATAAATATAACAAATTCTAATGATGAGAAATGTTAACAAATGACCAATTGCATAATTAGTATGCACCACCAAACTCGATAAATAATTTCGATAGTGATTATTTTTAAAAATATTTTACATATGAGAGTATATTCGCAAGACCAAAGGGTAGGCGAATATATTCGTATTTCAGATAATTTTTTCAGACGTCACTCCGATCATCGAGCGATCAAACGTCTCATTTCTTTGTATCGACATCCGAATAGAATCTTTCTACAATTAAGCTAGAGTGCAGCAATTGGTCAATTGGTAGAATGAAATGTGGGATGAATTAGTTGTGCATGCAGCCTACCGAGTCTGTGTCGTAGCAGGTAGCCAGCAGGCAGTTAGTGGGTATCCTTCTGTGTGGCTCGTCCGCAGGGCACATGCACCGTAACACGCACTCGCGCTGCAACCACACAACACCGTCACGGCCATGCTCAAAGATGCCCATATTCCGCATATCCTGATGTATTTTCTCTGTATTATCTTAGCTACGACGCTCATTTTCCAAGATTTTTTTGAAAATCTAGTCTTGGAACTCAGTTCTCTATAATTCTCCAATGAGCTCATTAAGTTACCAGACCAGTAAATAATAATTCGAAAGAAGTAGACTCAAGCGATTTGTTGCAAACAGGGTGTAACTAAGGTGCTTGGTACCGATTAAAGAAAATAGTTCTACCAAATATGTATCTAGTAGCGCTTCATTTTCAAATTAATTTTTAATAACGAGAAAAAAAATTAAAGCAAATACATGATTTGTTAAGAGTGTCCATAGCAAATAGGCAACCGGCAATACATTTTTATAGATTTTATTACACAGTTTATCTAAATATGAATTAATGCAGAAATAACAGACTTTCCCCCATTTTAACACAGATTTTCTATGAAATGGACTTAGTTTGAAACTTAAATAACTTTTTGGTGTAAAGAAATTTGTAATTTACAATGCCGTTGTTCAAAAAAGGTTCAATATTTTGAACTATATGTCGAAAACGAAACGTTTCTGGACACATATTTATAGTAACTTTTTTTATTAATTTGTAGATCTTATCGAATAATAAGTCAACTACATAGCCAAGTATTTCAGGTACACCCTGTATATATTATCTAGTAGCTTACGATCCCATAATTTGAACTGAAAATTGTCTTTGGTAACCTTAAATATGTTACATTCCTTATATTTTAGAAAAATTTATATATAGCCGATCTATCAGCGCTCCTCAATAAATTGTCTTATGTGGGTTTTACAGACCGTGCATAAAATTACCACTTTCGGCAATCGCACTTTCCAAATTTAAAGGTATTTTATGTGTTCTGGGTAGATTTAAACGACAAAATTAGTAATCTTTTGTACAAGTAACACAGACTTTTATCAAAGGCGGTACGCTCAGGGAATTAGAAACAAAAACATCTCATTCGGTACATACTTGTGGTGGGCACACTGCGAATTATCGCTCCTGCTTAAAAGTCCCTGTCTAAAACAAAATACCGAAATGCCCTTTGACTCCCAATCGGTCCTAAATAATTAAAAAACATGTCACTGAAAAATGCCGAAAAGCTCGGACGGTTTTATAACATCGAAAATCATTTTCGTTTAGTTCTCATTTTCCTTCTAGTAAATATAGAATCAGCCAACTATTAGTCACCGAGATTATTATTAAATTATTTACAACACATTGTTCATGTTATCTATAACCAGTCGTTAAACACAAAAGCGGTGCTGATTTTCGCGGTCCACCTACTATACGTTTGAAATGTATGGGCCCTTCGAACAGTTACACTATGCCACAAAAAAAGAAAAGTGGACTGGGGTGTGGGTTGAGTCATAGATGATTCCCGGATTAGTTCCCTTTTGACCCTAGGATCAAGAAATTGCTCTAAAAAGTGGTTTGCGAGGAGTCAGTGATTGAAAAAACATTTGAATTCATGATCTCGTTGCACCATAACCCAATAACCCTAACCCCATGACCCTATAGTTAAGATATTAAAGTGTTACAACATGACTACATACTCAGTTCCCGGTTTTGTAGTTTTACAGCCTCGCACACCCCAAGTTATAGGGTTATGAGGATTGAGGGTTATGAGATTTTGAAGCTATGGGGTTATAGGGTTATGGTGCAACAAGATCATGAATTCAAATGTTTTTTCAATCACTGCCTACTCAAGTCAGTTATAAATCTCAAAAACCGCTTTCAAGATGAGTTTCCTGACATTAGGGTTAGGGTTCTGATATTGGACTCGGATACAGCAGGCCAATACACTGTGGAATATATTGGTCTGGCACACGGCCAAGCTCAATTTTTTTTTGATGCTGTGGTAGAGAAAGAACGAAAAACTCTAATTAAACCGTCTTTGTCATATCAACTGTTTGAAATTGTCTCTTTTCTTAAGAAAATACAACTTTTCATCCAGGAGTTATTGGAGGTAAAAAAATGTACCCAATATTGACTTTATTTTCGATATAACGACGGTTGGAAATTAATTTCTCTAAAACGAACGCTTGGAATTACTTGAAATTTTAACGAGTGCGATTTTGGATAAACAAACACCAATCGGTTGTTGAGTTATCGAAAAAATGTAACATAATATGTTGGTTATTATTATGGGAACTAAAATATTTGTACATAAATAAATAATAGCTTTATTAAAAAAATATATGAAACTCATGAAAAATATATGAAACTATCAGAAAAGCAAAGCCGAGCAAACAATTTGAAGGAAGCGGAACACATTTGTAACAGACGACGTCAGCATTTCGAAAAGAATTGGCGATTTTGGGAAACTTAAATACAAAACTTCTTATTTATCAACAGAAAATTATATTCTAAGCCATAACGATGTTTAGAAATTGCTGAAATAATCGTGTTTATAAGTCGCACCGCTTATTATTATACGACCAGGGCAGTTTTGCGTCAATTCGAAACGTATAGTATAGGTGGTGAGCTTTAGAACTGTTTTAAGCATAAGAGAAGCCTCGGCTGATACTTTTTCGAGCAAATTTAAATAAGAGAATATATTGAGGAGGCAAGGCAACACATACACATACAAATACTAATACATAAAAAATAGTTCAGGGATTCCGTTGAAAAAAAAATATTTGTTTTGTATTTTTCCAAATAATTTAAATTTAAGAGTCAAAACGTATACATGAAAAGTATAACATTTATTGAAATTGATACAGTAAAACAGTTTTTTATTACGAATTAATATTTCCTAAATTCTCAGTCTCAAATGGTTTATTTTTGCTAATTTTGCAAAAAAATGTAGCGCTGTAGTACTATTTTAAAATATGTAATTTACCAAATATGCATGATCGTATGTATATACGACCCTTTTCGATCAATATTTACCATTAATTAACAAAATATACAGGGTGATTCAGAACTTATCCAAAAAAAAAAATGTTGGATGGACAGGGGACTCTTACAAATACAATTTTGTAAAGAAAAAATCAAAAAGGGCAGTTCGAAAATGATTTTAAAATACACTTCTACACGACACTGAAACTGGTCCACTGTAAAACCTGACCTTGTACAATGTGACCGGCATGGAAGCAAAGTGTGATAAAAACGGACAAAACTTGAAAGAATTTCGCAAGAAAAGAAATAAATAGAATTTTATAGCACCTATTTTATATCAGCAAATTCAACTGCTTTTACATAATTGTTATTACTAATTATTAATTAATGAAATTAATTTGTGTTTTTAAATAACAAAATAATTTGACATACCCGATGTTACAACAACTGTTAAAAATTTTATCCACCGACGTGTAAACACATTTGGATCCATCTTACTCAGTTTCTACGAACTAACAGAAATGTGGTCTTGCTTCACCATAACACAAATGCTTCACCATAAATTAAAACGATATCCATCAACTCCGAGTTGCTATACATGCAAACCATTTTTGACACTAACTACTAGAAAACTATTGTAAACACTATCGCAACGACGATTGTCAAATCGGATTTCAGTATTCGGAGTCGCTGAGGCCACATAGCTCTCCACGAGTATTGCAAATGATGCTAGCAACTACAGTTGTCCAACTATGTAATAGTTGAATGTACTACAACTTCAATAATTTTTTTCTCGGAAACGATAAGGATTTTACAAAAATTTTTTTTACGATATTGACTTCATTTCTCATGCCGCATCTATTCCCAAATTTTTTTGGATAAGTTGTGAATCACCCTGTATATTTCCAACTCTTGTGATAAACAGTTCTAATAAAAAACCATTTTAATGCATAAGTTTGATTCACGAAAAAAAAAATTATGTAAGTTGGTAAGTGTAACATACATAAGGTTATAGTAATTTTGTCTATAAATATAAAACACGTTTTGATAGTTTTTAACCTCTTATACGAGAACAACAAAAATTCATCAATAACTCAATCTTTTCGGAAAATGTGAAAACTGAGATTTTTAGAAAATTGGACGGTCGTCCGGAAATAACCCTTCACGGTCATTTAAAAGATAATTATTTAATATGGTTAGTAAGTTATGTCTGTTTAGTAAGTTAATCTGTTATTTCATTGACGAAATTATAAACTGACAATGCTTTAGAAATACATCAAAATATGCTGATATTTATTTTAATAATTAACAACTACCGTACAACAAGGCGTTCCGGGATGATTTTTAAGAAACTGTTATTATATCCTTTAACGCCGGCTAAAAAGTTAAGGTTAAGGCAACCGAGTAAAAATTTCTACTTTCTGTATTAAATATTATCACGATTAGAATTTGAATTCAGTATGTTAATATTCATATACTTTAGACATGCATACAGGACGCTACATCTAAAGAGACCTGTCTTGTAACCCGAACTATGCTTATCAAATTCATAAATTTATTAAATGTTTTCTTGATTCACACTTTGATGAACCTTGTAAAATGATTTTATCAATATAGTTACGTATAAGTCAAATGCATAGAGGAAATCAATTCTTACAGCTGCTGTACTGGGTATTTTTCGTCTGTCGTAAATATTATGTTCTCTGTGTGTAGTATTCGAACGTGTGTGGTCGATCGTGAATAATTTCGACTGTCAAACTCTAATCGTGACGGTATAAGTTGAAAACAAAAAAAATAGTAATAGAAAGGGTGCTTTGAAAAAACAAATCATAGCTATAAGAAAATTACGGCAGCCTTCTTGTACGGTGAGCATTTACCATCTTAACATTACTGTCTTAAAAATGTAAAATTCCAAAATACAAAAACCTCAAAGGGGGGAAAAAATGGGTTTCAAAAAAGTGGTATAGAAAAAATTTCCTAAGTTCTACAACGAGCAAAAAAATAACATAGAACTACGACACAATATACTAGAGACATAGTAAATACAGACGTTTTAGACAAAAAAAAAAAATCTGTACCACAACACAAAACTACTAGAAAAAGGGATATGAAATGTGGCAATTACCTCCCGTCGGGCGCTGTCCGCTGGAATTTGTATTCTTAAAGACGCTGTCGATGTCCGACGCCAAGTCTCGACTCACGCTCCTCCTCCAAGGCACGCCGAAGCTGCTGCCTGTAGAGCTGTTCGTGATGACGGGCCTGTCGCGGCTGAGCATTCTGCCTAGGGACGAATGCCTGAAAATTAAAAAATGCTGCAATCCGAATTTGTTGTGTTTCCGATCGGTGAGTGTAACTAAATAACTAAACTACAACTACCGTGTAGTACTAATGCGTTTAATGTTTGCTATATCGTAACATCAGTGCTATTTCTACCATGTTCCACGTTTCAGTGGTTTTCCACCAATGGCAGCACACTAACTTTTGACAGATGCCAATTGAATGACATTTCTTAAAAGCTGACAAACGTCAAATATCTGTCAATATGTTTACAATTTGTTTTCAAATTTACAAATTAATGTATTTTAAAACAATTAGTGCTTTGTTTTCCGCTGTGAAGGTAAAAAAAAACAGAGTTAGAGTACAATTTTCTAAAAGATCTGATGGTATATGAAACATTGGTGGATTAGGTATAGTATTAAACTTGAAGTAACAAAATACATATATTTTTTGTAAATTAAATTAGATAAGTACTATTGAAATTAATATATTCTTAAACAGTTGCAATGTCCAAATCAAATGTCAGTTATTGACATTTAACATGACATTTGTGTATTCAGATAATAACAATCTTAGAGCATATACTAGGCAGCGTCCCAGAGTCCGAGAGGGTAGCGGAGGTTGTAGAGAGAGAGAGGTATAGGAGGGTATATGCTATATCTCTCTAGCAGCATGCGATTGGTTCTGCAGTGAACAGCTGCTTCTGTCGTTGACAGGGGGAGATGACGGCAGCCCATCGCATGCTGCTAGAGAGAGATAACAAATACTCTTCTATACCCCTCTCTCCCTCTCTATAACCTCCGCTACACTCGCGGCCACTGCGATGCTGCCTCCAGGAGTATATGCTTTAAGGTAACAACGAAGTCGCCATATTACATATTTGTCGCGGCAACGAAGTAAATAATTAAGAATCCTTTATCAAATTTCGACTTGTATGACAGATTACAAAAAAAAGTTGTCTGTACTATGGTCGCTTTATCATTCGATTCCAACGAAGTAAACAACTGCAAACAACCACATCAAAGAAGAAAAGGATGAATTTACGAACGTGGAAATAATTAATATTTCAAATAAAAAAGAAACAAATTGCAACAAGGTTAAATAATAAATGACACGTATAAAATGAAAATCATACAATATAATGTCTGATTCTGTACTTATCAACGGTCATTCTTTGATGGGTTTACTGTTCGATCCGTTTTGACCAATAATTGTGCAGTGTTACATGTATTTTGATCTTTGTTTACTTCATCGGAATATGTAAAGTGACAGTAGTTTACTTGATAATCCTTTAATATTCTCTGTGCTAGTCACAAAATTTAATGTATATCTCCATTTTCCCCAGTCTTGCATGTGATTATTGTGCGTTATCTATTCGGCGGTTCGTCGCTACTGAACTACTCTACTATTTACTACCCAACACTGAACTTACATAATTTTTTTTATTTCTCTTCTATACGTTATTATGCACTGAGTGCTTGGAAAAAAGTAGACAATTATACATTATTATCTATACCAGGGGTCGGCAAGTAATTTTGGGTGGGGTCTGGATACTTTTGAAAATTTTTAACGAGGTCCAAAAAAAAATTCATATTATTTTTTTTATTTTAATTTGGACTCAAATTTAATCTGCTTACTAACCATTAAGAACTCACACACTCACACAATTGTAAAATACTAGAAAAAATAATAAGATTGGCACTTAAACGTAAAAAACATTTTTTAAATAATTTATTTGAGTAATTTATACTTTCAAAAAATTTTTGGCGGTCCAGTATTTTACCTTCCGCGGTCCGGATCTGGACCGCGGTCCGCCAGTTGCCGACCCTTGATCTATACCGTGTCGAGTTCTTGGCAAAAATAATAAAATTTGTGTTTTATTCATTTTCATCACAGAACGATTGCGACAAATCGAATATATGAAACGTTCAAGTTGTTACCTTGTCAAAGGATGCTCCATCCTGTTCCAGAAATTTGTTCCGGTGTCGAAATGGCTTAGTAGACGACTGCTAGGAAACCCAGGTCTTACTCCATCGTCGACGTTCAGCCTCTGCGTGAGATCCCGCACCTGAAACTCCACCCGTGAAAAATCTCCCCTTTCCGTGTTAGAACGAACTCACCCTCGATAAAAGCGTAGAGAACAAGTTTTCCGCAGTTAATAACTCAAAGCCTTCATCGTCGTCCTCCTCGCCCGAACTCACGGAATCATTGTGCTCCAGGGTACTCCTCTTGGGACGGGTACTCCTGTTTAATTCCAACGTTAGCTTTCGTGTAGGAAATTAATCCGGGGGCGATACGTACCTAAGTCGATGCATGTGGAAAGCGCTCTTAGAATCTTCGTTGTCGCTGTCCTTGCCTATGGAGCCGTGACGGTGTAGGGTAGAGAACGGGGACGATTCGTCCTCTGAATCTCTGTCGCTGAAGAGGGAACTGAAAGTAAACGAAAACTTTTTCGTTTGTTTATTCGATTACTTAAAAATATTCACAAGTTTATAAATTCGATGATGATGATGAATGAAATTGGTTATTTAGGATGCAAAAAATCTGAATTAGAGGTAATTCCGAATTTGGACTCACCCCATTTTCCTATTTCTTCCGAACCTCGACTTACTCCTATTCGTCATGGTACTAGTAGTACTGGCGGTATCGCTGGGTTCCAAACTGCCAGCCCTCGGCGTCACGTAGCCTCCTCCTTCCACCGCGATGGGTATTATATATTCACGGGGTGACTTCTTTATAGGCTCGCCGGTGGAACCGGCGGTTTCGCTGTCAGATTCTTGGGTAGACTGCCTCGACAGGCTGTTTCTAAAGAGACACAGAGTTTATATAACGGCTTTCGAGAGGCCACCTCGAGTTACCTTTGTGAGCTGTTCGATATCTGAGTTTGAAAAGCTTTCGGTGTCGGCGGTTTTGTGGGAGGCGACTGAACTTCTTCGCGGTTACCCTCTTCGAAAGCTATTGGTATCATTCGTTCCTTGGAAGAACGTTTTTGTAGTTTGTCGGCTTCTGTGGCACTTGATCTGTGCAGAAATTAAATAATATATCAGGGGAGTTATAACAGACTTTGAGACATGTGGCTTGTTAGACCAGGAAAATTAGCAAAAAATAAAGAGAAACTTGAAAAAAGTCCTATCCGCGATATTATTGTAAAATCGTCTAAAGGAACATAATACAAGACATCTCTCATGTCGTGAGTCAAAAAATTTTAATAGCTAAATTTTTTCTATTTAAACAAATAAGTGAGGAAAACAGTTTTTTCACTTTTCAGGGAAACTATCAATTTTAGCGAAAAGTGACTCGCAGACAGCTTGTAGGGAATAAAATTATCTGACTTGTTAAATTAAAATCGGTTAATAAACAAAAAAGTTATTGCAAAAAAACAAGAAAAGTGCCCATTTTTTAATTTGTTTATAACTATCGCATTTATTGTTAAAATTTTATAAAACCTATGACAAGTTGAGGGTTTTGTCATACTTTAAAAGTGTGCCAAAAGTGGGCGCTGTAGGTGCAATAGTTTTCGCACAATTCAATTTGTTTATAACGGAGGCTCCAAAAGTTATTAACTTTAAGCCTCTGTACAGGCGTTAATTTTCAACCAAACATGATTCTGAAAGCGTCATTGTAATCTTAAAGACGTAATTAAGCGACCTACCAAATATATCACCATTTTTTTGACATTGACATTCTCAAATTGTGCATTAAAAAACCGTGCGTTTTTCGCTTATAAACAATTTGAATAAAATTGTTGCTATTTATGCTACCTCACCGAAAATAGATACAGCTGGCAAAAAAAATCAAATTTAAAAAAAAAATCACCCTCTACGACCAACAGGAGCCAAGATAAGATTTTTTTTTTAAATCGTAGCACAATTGTTTATAAACATTAAGACTTGAATTTTTCGCAAAATAAAGTTTATGACGTAAACTACAATTTCCCGTAGATTGCATTGAAAAATGTGGAAAATTAACGACTCACGAGTCCTTTAAAGAGAAGGTATTTGCTAAGTAAAATGTCCGGCGTGGTGGTGGGGGAAGCTCGTTCAAGCGAGTCGCGCGCCAGAAAAGTGAAATCCAAAGTTCAAATTGATGCGCGCTGTAAAATTTTGCAATATCTCGGCTTCTATTCATCATAGAAACTTCTTTTTTTTTTTAAACTGGGGTAGCTCGAAGAAGAAATAACAATGGGCATATTTACGAATTCGTAGAATAGCCCTGAACCCCAGAAAAAATGCATCTTTTATACTGAATTTTTTTTAATTTGCAAAAATGTCACAAAAGTTATTGTTAAACGAAATATTAATTAAAATTTCAATTTCGGAATTTTTTTTACTATTATTAAATAAATGAATGAAAACAATAATTTTTAAATGAACGATACGATCATTTATTTATTTAATACTAATAAAAAAAAATCCGAAATTGAAATTTTCGTTTAACAATCATTTTTGTAACATTTTTGTAAATTAAAAAAAATTTAAGTAGAAAAGATGCATTTTTTCTGGGGTTCAGGCCTATTCTACGAATTCGTAAATATGCCCCATTGTTATTTTTTTGTCGAGCTACCCCAGTTTTAAAAAAAATAAGTTTCTACGATGAATAGAAGTAGAGATATTGCAAAATTTACAGCGCGCATCAATTTGAACTTTGGAATTAACTTCTCTCGCGTGCGCGACCTCTTGGACGAGCTTCCCCCACCACCACGCTGCCGGCCGCCGGACAGTTTACTTAGCGAGTACCTTCTCTTTCAAGGGCTCGTGAGTCATTAATTTTCCACATTTTTCAATGCAATTCACGGGAAATCGTAGTTTACGTCATAAACTGTATTTCGCAAAAAATTCAAGTCTTAATATTTATAAACAATTGCGTTACGATTTAAAAAAAAAATTCTTATCTTGGCTCCTATTGGTCGTTGAGGGTACTTTTTTAATTTTAACACTGTATTTTTTTGCCAGCTACCAATTGCATCTATTTTCGGTGAGATAGCATAAATAGCAACAATGTTATTCAAATTGTTTATAAGCGAAAAACGCACGGGTTTTTAATGCACAATTTGAGAATGTCAATGTCAAAAAAACGGTGATATTTTTGATAGGTCGCTTAATTACGTCTTTAAGATTACAATGACGCTTTCAGAATCATGTTTGGTTGAAAATTTACGCCTGTACAGAGGCTTAAAGTTAATACCTTTTGGAACCTCCCCTATAAACAAATAGAATTGTGCGAAAACTATTGCACCTACAGCGCCTACTTTTGGCACACTTTTGAAGTATGACAAAACCCTCAACTTGTCATAGGTTTTATAAAATTTTAACAACAAATGCGATAGTTATAAACAAATTTTGAAGATAATTTTACTCCCTACAGTCTGTCTGTGAGTCACTTTTCGCTAAAATTGATGGTTTTCCCTGCAAAGTGAAAAAACTGTTTTCCTCACTCATTCGTTTAAATAGAAAAGTTAGCTAATAAAATTTTTTGACTCGGGAGATGAGAGATGTCTTGTATTATGTTCTTTTAGACAATTTTACAATAATCTCGCGGATAGGAATTTTTTCGAGTAAAAATTTTATTTACTTGGCCTATGTAGTATGTGTGTTTTTATTGATTCTGAAGGTTATATCATAAACAATTTGATAATTTAAAAGTTGATAATAGCCTAGTTCTGTTACAAGTCAAGCCCAAACTCTAAATATTACAAAGATCCCTCAATTTCGGTGGAAATCTACGTCAAGGAAATTAAAACGAGTACACGTTTTACAGGTGAAAATTCTAACTTACCTCGCAGCTGCGGCTACGGGAACTATGACCTCGCTCCTTTGCGTAGGACCCGCCTGAACGTTATGAGCCATTTCAGTCTTAAATCCCATCGTCGTGGGTTTAGGCATAGGGAAATTCAGTTGTATTTCAGCTTTAGTCTTCTTCCTCGGCAGAGTGGCGGATTTGAAGGTGATCTCCGCCGAGGAGGTCTTACTCTCCTCGACAGGCGGCTCCGGCTGATCCAAGACCTGTTTGACCTCCGGTTTGTCGAACACGGGCTTCACGAACGGTTTCTGTCCCCCGGAGGGCGACGATATCATAGGGATATTGCCGGAAGCCGAACGACCGCTCGTCCCGAACGGTACGGGAGGCTTCCTCACGCAAGGTCTGGATTTCGACTTCCTCGTTCCCTCTTTCTCTAAGGCACTTGAGATAATACTTACGGCGTTTTTGACGCGTTCTTTCATTTCGCCCTCGTCAGTCTTTTTAGTTTCGGGTTTGGTGTCCTTGTCGGTTCGGTCTTTCACGACGGCTTCCTCTTCGGCTTTCTTATCGAGCGAGTTCTTTTTGGACAAGGCGCCCTTTAATCGTGGCGGTGAAGTGGAGGTCAAGCTGGCCTTTCGTTCGAACTCCTTCTTGTAACCGTCCACGCTCACGCCGGGGATTATCACTTTCTTTGGCTTCTCGATAAGCATCGGTTTGCTTTCCGGCGGGGCCATCATGTTCTGGAATTTCTCCGCCGCCTCGAATATCCTTGATTTCCTTCTCTCTATGGGCTTAGTTGGAGTTTCAGCTTCCTCTTCCTTCTTGTCAGGTTCCTTTTCTTTAGGTTTTTCTTCGGGTTGAGGCGCCGGTGTTTCCGACTTGACGTTTTCATTTTTATCTGCCAAGACTTTTTTCTTGACGACCTTCTTTTTGACTGGCTTGGCTTCGGCTTTTTCTTCCTTTTCCAAAGGTTTTTGAACTTCTTTGGCGGTTTTTCCTATGTTCTCTTTATCGACGTTCGAAGCGACATTCTCTTGGCTCGGTATCTCGCTAATACCTTCCAAAATTTTATTACTAACGCTGGTCGACAGAGTTTTCTTAAGTTTGGATTGTTTCTTTTTCTCGGACTCTTCTATGATCTCCGAACATGCAGCGCCTTGTAGCGACGGATCGACGGTCACTTCCGTCTGTTCGACATCCATTTCCCTCGACAACGTCTGGGTTAAACTTTTGTTCAAGGGTACCGCTTCGCTCATACTGGCATCCTCCGTCGATACGTCTTTCACCGCACCATGTACCGTTATATCTGCGACCGTGGTCTCCTTCACTATCTTTTCTTTTCTTTTGTCGAGGTTCGCTCTGTCGGTGCTCACTGTCGTTTCCAGTTTTCTCTTAGGAGTTACTTTATCTTCGTTGATCAAGTCTATAATTCTCCTTTCGGCCGGATGACCCAACTCCATCAAACTACCAACGGATTGGGATCTCGCCGGCGCCATCGGCTCGATCTTAGCGTCTTCATCTCCCGTTACCATGAGTTTATCGCTTTCCAGCTGTGGAGCTGGAGGCGCCAAAGACAGCAACACGTCTAACCTCACCGGTGTCTGATTGGCTAGCTCTTCCGATATATCCAAACAGCTGTCGTTGTATCCCTCGTTGACCCACCAGTGGGTGCAAATCTTTTCTATACCAGCGCGGTTCTTAGGATTTACCGTTAACATCTCCCTTATTAAAGGAGAAGCGGCTGAAATTAAACAATTTAAACTTGAAGCGTATAAATGACAGATTAAACTTACGGCTGGGTTTGGTGGGTTCGAAATAATCTCCCTGGGATATCTGCTTGACCAGCCTTTTGAAGTTGCTTCCGTCGAAAGGCATAGCACCGTAAACGAGCGTGTAAAGAAGGACGCCCAAGGACCAACAATCTACCTCCGGTCCGTGGTAGGGGGTTCCCTTGACTATTTCTGGGGAGGCGTACAATGGGGATCCACAAAACGTGTTTAATAATCGTTGGTCATCGAAAACGTTGGAAAGACCAAAATCCGCTATCTGAAAACGAACAAAAATGCATTACGCTCGAGATTGAAGATTAAAAGAAATATGTTACCTTTGCATTATTATTCTCATCTAGTAATATGTTCTCTAACTTTAAATCACGGTGACATATTTTGTGTTTGTGGCAGTAATAACATGCCGTAGCGATCTGTCGAAATATGCGTCTTGCTTCCTCTTCGTCCAGTACTTTCCTCTCCGATAAATAATCGTATAATTCCCCGCCTGCGGCGTATTCCATAACTAGTACCATTTTTTCTCTATTTTCAAACACTGAAATATGAAATTTTAGCTGGTTTTACTTAAATTCAAATCAGTGAATTACCTTCATAAATATGAATGATATTTGGATGTTGTACAGAAGACATAATTTGAATCTCTCTACGAATTCTGATTAAATCTGCATCAGACTCTATTTTTGATTTTTTTATTGTTTTTATTGCTACTTCTTGACCAGTCTCTTTGTTTATTCCTAATTGTACTTTGCCGAATGTACCCTGTCCCAGTTTCTTTATAATATCAAACCTGTAAAGAAATTCTCCAACTTCATACAAATTATTTGACGAAAAATATTTATCAACTCAAATACCTGCCAAGTTTTACTTTAAAGTACATTTTTGTCACCCTACCTTTGTCTTAATTTCTTTTTATGATTATGTTGTTTCACGCTGCCAGTATTTTCTATACCGCCCATGATATTGTTTATTGCCTCTCCGACCACCATTTTGAATCTGCAATTAACCAAAACGTTATTTTATAAGTTAGGCACTTCATAATGCTCTATTTTTGAGCATTATCTCGAGCGTAAGAGTAACAGTTTGTCATTGTTCATTGTAAACGAACCATTAATGTCGGTGAAGTTAAGATTTAGGCAATTTTTATTTGATAGTATCAGCCATGAAATGTTGGTTGCCTATGTTCGGCGGTCACATGGCTTGTAATAATTTATGAAGGATCATTTTACTTACGAAAGACTGTTTCATCAAGTAGCCTATGTATGGAAATAAATATTAATAGAACAAAACTATATATCTACGTATAAAGCTATATTCAAGCTTCTAGAAAAACATTTTTTTAAATTGTTTGAAGTATATGTATACTCCAGATATTTTCTAGGGCAAGGGTCGGCAACTGGCGGACCGCGGTCCAGATCCGGACCGCGGAAGGTAAAATACTGGACCGCCAAAAATTTTTTGAAAGTATAAATTACTCAAATAAATTATTTAAAAAATGTTTTTTTACGTTTAAGTGCCAATCTTATCATTTTTTCTAGTATTTTACAATTGTGTGAGTGTGTGAGTTCTTAATGGTTAGTAAGCAGATTTTTGAGTCCAAATTAAAATATGTAAAAAGATATGAATTTTTTTTTTTGACCTCGTTAAAAATTTTCAAAAGTATCCGGACCCCACCTAAAATTACTTGCCGACCCTTGTTTTAGGGTTTAAAAGAAGTATACCGAGACAACAATACTAATGGTAGATAATTTAAGTGAAACACCCTATATATTTACTTTGCTTCACTTGATACCCATCATAAATATTTAACTAAATCTGTAAGTCAAATCAATAAAGTATTGTGAACAAATTTGGTTTAAACATATTTCACCTTTAGAATGTTTCAGATAGTCTCGATTCTATAACACACTTGCAGTGTTCTTGTAGAATTCCTAATTATTTACTTAATATAAAAATAGGTTTTCAGGTTCATACAATGTATGCAAATTGACTTGTTTATGCGAACTTGAGCGAGTAAATCTTTTATGTATCTGTTTTTCTAAGGCAGCTCACAAACGGTGCATGTAACCAAACATGGTACAAAAGAAACATTAATAAGTTTTACAATTGTTACTTATCGTAACTATTACTTCTCTCAGACATAATTCCGTTGTGAGAGTATTTTTCAAACAGCAATTACACCTACAAGTATTTAAAGCTTACACTACCGTTATTTTATTATTTTGTGATACAAGAGAATTGATTTAAAGAAATATTTCTTAATAGATTTAAATTAAATATTTGTACAATTATTTTAAATCTAACAAATGTTGTAATTTTTATTGATGTAATTTTCGGTAAACCTAAAGATTGTTTTTAACATAAATAAATTGGTAATTATTGTGAATTACATACCTCGACAGACAACTAACTAGACATTATACAAATATCTCGACAAATACATACAAGTGAAGTAAATTATACCAAATTATCAAAACAATAAAGACACTTCATAAAATATAAAGTTATTTTATTCGCTTGTTGTATACCGGTAAATGATTAAGGTAAAAATAAATAATGAATATTTAATTCTAATAAATTCTAGTAAAAATTATTCAAATAGACAGTTTTTATATTTACCCACATCTATTTATAAATGATTAAATAGAGCGTCAGGGTAAAGAAACTATTTTAAAGTTTATTTATTTATTTGGCTATTAAAATATTAATATGAAAAAACTAACGTATATGAGCTTAACATCAATCAATTTTCTATTCCTTAGAGATGCTCAAGTGCCTACAAGTTCAAATTAATTTCATACAACGATTTCATATCTACAAAATTTTTATCCTCACACACATTCGAAAAGTACTAGAATTAGACAGCAAAGAATTATAAAATATCATCAAAATCTCAAAGAAAATTTAAAATTCGCTTACATTTCACAAATACAATATAAAATGTGTACCTACTCCAATTCTAAATCGTTATAGCCTGATGATATCTAGCTGAATTGTGTTGATAAAATTATTTTAATTAATACGTGTTTACTGGGTAATATTTGCAATGAAATGTAGGAGTACAGGCTATAAAATCAAAATTATTAAAATGTGATAGGAGATAAAGATGTGAGTACACATATAAATTAAAGGCAGCGACATTAGATCTATTTTAAGAACTTGGTAGGTTTGAATACTTTGGTTATTTTTATACAACAAAGTTAGCCCATCCTTGTTTATCTTTAATCTTTAACAAAATTATTCACTATTAAATGACCTGAGGGATAATCCACTTCATGTATCAAAATTAAATTCATATTTTTTTTAACAATGTTACTATTTAATTTTTAAATATGTTACCTTTATTTATAAATGTTTTTCATTTGCCTTGAATCATTTTCTTGGAATGTGGATTTTAAGAGCTTAGCAAAATAAAACTTGTTTCTAAATTATCACATTCATCATTCATTTACGTTTTTGATGTACTTGAAAATACAAAGACCATTATAAAGCAATTTTAATTTTGTGTTATGTTGTTAGGAAGTAAGTAGTGGTGTAAGTTTGAGAAAATAGTCAAGAATGAATTGAGGACGTCCATTTAGGTTGATAACTACTTTCAGTTTCAGCATTGAATTTTAACAAATACTTGTTACTATAAAAGGCAAACTTTACTAAGTACTCTTAGAACAGAACGGATGAATAATAATCCAGAGTCGCAACCAACGATCGTATTTTCTCTTGTGGTGTCGAATATGTGTGGGCGATTCCAACTCCCAACATTATCAGTAGGAAAGTAGCAAAACCGACGTGCAATTTCAATTGCAAAAGCGTTGATTGAATTTTTCAACAATTCTGAAAGTTTTTGCGTCGATTAATTATTTCGGGTCATTCAATTCGAACTCCTAAAATTAATTAGGTACTCTGGGTTCAATAAGAGCCAAAATGTCTTCTAATCTAACCTAATTATAACCCTCTCGAAAATATGTGATTTTGACATTTCATGGCATCCATTCGCCGTAAAGATATGAAAAGATAATTGATAAGAATCTGTCAAATCCGACATAAACAAGTATCTCAATTATATCCACTTACCCGTTCTTAATTAATTTAATATCCACCCAAAAATAAAAGTCGGCTGATGATCACTACACTATTATTATAAACATTAAAACTACAGAAACACTTTTATTGTAAGAAACACTTGCTATTAACTTATGCTTCACCTTCAAATTATCATTATCACTGGTGAGAGATTTTTATTAACATTTTAAAGCGACAGAAATGTCTACTAGCCGCCATGTTTCTTCTTGTTTAAAAATAGTTTACGACACGACATTGGAAATTGATTGAATGTTAAATTTTCTTAGAAAATGTATTTTGGTTTATAAATTATTTATACAAATATAACCGTATCGTAAAACAAGCAAAAAAATGTTTTTAAATTTTTCTTTTCGGTTTCATAAACTGTGAGTATAAAAAGCAGGGAAATTAAATCCATAGGTGTTCAAAATAAAATTTATAAGGGCGGTTAATTGTGTTAAAACTGATTATTCAATTTATTGATAGATTTGACGAACGAAAAATGAGAACCGAAATAATTCAGTTTTTTATAAAACTTGGTTTTTATAGATACTGATCGGTGCTGATTCATTCTATTTATTTAATTCCATTTTGAGAAAATTGAATAAAGCGCTTACAATTGACGTCACATCTGTGACGTACATTACTGTTTAAAAAATATTTGACTGAATCCTTACCACAGAATGTACCTATTCTGTGAGGTTTGTTCCATTTTCCTGCATAAAGTTTAGTTCACATACCAATTTAGTGTATTACACATATTACTCTGAATATACACTACTCTAAAAATGCCCGTTCAATTATTAGAAATATTGCAGCAGCTGTATAAGGCACAACTCACACTAAAAATATAATACTTCTTAAAAGGATCTTACTAGACTACACACATCACACTCAAGTCCGGAACTGATTGTACTTTTTCCTTAATATCCAGTAGTATTAATAAGATATAATCCTGTTATCAGTATTATATTCGTCGCAAAACAAACAACTGATTATTGCAACAGAAAATACTTCGAATGCTCTTTATGCTACGATATTTCATAGCGATAATACAACCTAGAAATACAACGAACAAACCTCACGGCTATAGATCTAGCGTGTAGTTCTGTGATTCAAATCATATTAACTTTTTAACTGTGGCTTATTTACTTAAGTTTAAATCTAATGAATTCTGAATTGGTCAATTAAGTGCGATCAACTGAGAAATACAGGTACATAAAACACGATTATCGTTGTTTATTATTTTTTTAATATTCTGTGGTCTATGAGACGATGATGATATGTAACTTTAGTTCTGTTCACAAAACATATGTTCTGTTTTCTGTTGTGGACTTGTGGAGCGTGGAGCGCAGGAGCGGAGCGGATATTAAATTGACATTTGACATATAGAGGAGAGGAAGGTCATGATGGTTATGTCTATGATTAGAAGAATGTTTTTATACAAATTTTATTAAAAATGTAGCATATATTTTCTTCTTACTACACCTGGATTATTTGTGTTAGCGAACTACTTTGGTTATACAAGCCATAGGAGCTGGAGTTAGGAATTCAATACCAACCACATTTACTGGTGTCACTGTCGAGTACAATAGTCTCTAATATTGTGTACAATTATGTCGATTTACAGATATTTATTACATATTGCTTATATAGGAAAACCATTTAGGTAGTATTTCCTACACGCTGAATCAGTTGGGTGTTTAAAAATTGAAAATATCAAATCTTTTTAGAGGCGCACAGAGGCAGGTTAAAGGTACTTTTCCAAGGGCAGATGACCCACTGACTGTTCAAGGAAGATTAGAAATGGCTTTGAAGCGATTAAAGCCATCAAACGAACCAATTGTAAATATGTCGAGCAGGTATATCGAATTTCTTAGGAAAAAAATTAAGACTGCTAAATGCCATTGGTTTTATAAGCTACACTAGCTTTAAAACTATTTTGTTTTCTACAATTGTGAATCCACATTTACAAGTAATTGAATAAGATACTGAATATTTGAAAATATTACTGCTTCGGCAAAAACTATACATCAAAACTTTTAAAAGCGTTAGATAATTACCAATATGCTTCTCTTTTTGAAATACGAATTGTATCTGTAACAAAAGAACAGTTAAATAAAATAAGCTGGAGAAAATGAAAAGTATTTAATAAAGCTAAACGTTTTGTTATTTGTTCTCCATGGTGAAATATTTTTTTGTAAAATTAGCTTTACAATTAATAAACAAAATTAATTATTTGTAGTTCTCCAAAATTTTAGGACAGATTCGGGAGTACACGCTATTAACGGGACATGCCATGTAGACTTGCTTAGAAAAAATGAAACGGTATATGAGCCTCGATCCATAACACTTTGTTTAAACAGATACTTTAAGAAACAAGAGGTGCCTATCAGAATAATAAAAACTCATATTGTACCCCAAACTTTCCATAGCAGACATAACGCTATATCTAGAACGTACTTGTACAGGATGGTTATAGCTAAAGCTGATAGTATGAACGTAGCTCCCAATCTTCACTATATTCCTATAGAAGAGTGGGACCGATGTTTATTTTTCTGGTAAGTTAAGAGTCAAGGGTTCGTTTAATTTCTCATGAAATTTATTTAGTACAAATACATTTGATCTTGACCGTATGAAGGAAGCCGCAAAGCTATTAGAAGGCTACCACGATTTTAGAACTTTTATGGGCAAAAATTCTGGAAGTGATGAAAAGTGTACGAGAAAAGTCATGGATTACATCAAAGTTAAGACTGTAGATAAAACCGGTTACAGCAATGTGTACAGTTGGCCTTCTTTCATTCACAATGACGTGGACGATTATTTGTTTGTAGATGTTTACTTGAAATCGAAGAGTTTTCTGTACAGACAGGTAAGAAGTTAATTTGATGAGAAGGTAATCTAAAACATTGTGATGAAATTCTGACGGTTAAGGATACATTATTTATTTATTTACTGACCTCACCAACGAATTGTAGAATTCGTTGGACCTCACCATTTAACCCTTCAAATTTGAGTGAACTCCAAAATGTGTGCCATTGACTACCTTATCTAATTAAAACTTGATAAATGTAATCTTTGTTGTTATTATGAATGAATTACCAGAATGACTAAAATAATGATGAAGCTAAACAAATGATAGTGAACAATAAATATCAACTGGTAACTATGCACAAATTAAAAGCAATGGTTAATAATGACAATAATCTTTTATATAAAATTGCATAAGATGGTTTTGTTTTTATAAATAAACCCAAAACGCTCGTAGTTTTGGTTCAATATTGTTTATAATAGGTCTTGGTTTTGATTAGTTGCTTAATCGGAAATTGTAAATAAAAATATCGACAGTGACATTGACGTCGATGTTTTAGCCACGTTTTATCGTATCGTATCGTGTGCCTGCCTTTGTCTATTTCATTTCCTTAATTTCATTTCAAGATTGCTTAGGCATCTCGGTTTCAAACAGCAGTTATTAATTAAATATGGATTAAACGTATGTATAATTACGAAAAGAATATTAAATAAAATATTTGAAAAATAAATAAATCCGTATTTACATAATATTTTGCCATTTTATTATTGTAAAGATTTTTTTTACCATTCATTAAAGATTAGATATCTGATTCAAGCTCAAGCGGCGTCGCCAGATTGAGCTAAATGAAGAGTGTACGATACCGATACCTACCACAGATCAAATAAATTTGACAAAATTAAAAATCGGTTTCAAATTCAATGTTGATTTTCACGTAATCAGCTAATGTAATTTTCATGACTTTTTTTAAATATAAAATGTGTTTGAGGTGATTTTGTGCGAACTTAAAATAAAAAAAAACTAATAATTGAAAATAAATGCGTGTAAGTGGTAAAAATGAACGAAAAGGAGGAATTCGCTAAAAAATAGTAACGAATTTTGCGACTGCAAACTTACGTTAACCCTTCTACCTAACTTTCAACTTACAGATCTAAACATTTCTCATAGAAATACAAAAAGTACTTAATTAATAAGGTTGATTAAAGCACAAAATCACTATATTACAGTTAGGGAAATCGTATTAAATGCCTTGAGCATATAATTACATTCATCTTAAAAATTATGAATATATGGAAAAATACGTCATTCAATAATATTTACAATTCATTCGTAATATTATTATTGAATGGCACATTGGCAGTTATGACTTTCCTTTAATTTGCTTAAAACAAATACAACCGGCAACAACGATGACGCTCTAATAAAATTAGATTGATAAAGTTGGCAGCACGCGGTGGAATTTCACTAGAAAGTTCTTTCGACTTTGAGCTTTATAGGCGTCGTGAAGTCCATTTTCGACGTGAGTTTTTGTTTATAGACTAGTAAAAGCTTCCTTGTGCCAGTTCGTCAGATCCTTCAAACGCAAGTAAATAAATTTTATTATAGATATTTGTGGGTGAGTGGTCTTTATTGTATCTCTGGATGTTTATTTAATAGACACGTTTCTTAACCTAGAAGCGGCCGGTGGACTTGGAGGGAAACATTGCAAAATGGCTTCCAAGTAAAGCCGTTGAAAAGGTATTTAGAGTAAAGCAATTTTTTTGTATACAGGTCCGAAGGACGGTGGCGTCGCTGGTAGCAGTAGCACAAGGTAAAGTCACTATTAGAGATATTAAATTTATGCTGGAAATTCCTTCCCATCGATCGTGGTGCCCCCAGATAAAAACACTGCCGGCGCACGGACTCTATCTTTGCGAAGTAGAGTACGCGAAAGAGGACTGGGACACTTTTACGAGTTTTCCGAGGGCCTAATTGTTTACAATGGTAGGGTCTAGAGTATATGTAGGTGGGCTGCCTTATGGGACCACAGAGCGGGACCTGGAGCGCTTTTTCAGAGGGTACGGCCGGATGAGGGACGTTCTCATTAAAAACGGATACGGGTTTGTTGAGTTTGACGATTATAGAGATGCTGATGATGCTGTGTATGAATTAAACGGTAAAAAACTTTTAGGGGAGCGTGTGACTGTGGAAAGAGCCCGAGGGACGCCCAGGGGTCGTGACCAGTGGTCATCCAGCCGCAATGACCACCGCTCCCACGAACGCTATGGACCACCAACCCGGACCAACTACCGGTTGATCGTCGAGAACCTATCCTCCCGTATCAGTTGGCAGGATTTGAAAGATTACATGCGCCAGGCCGGCGAAGTCACTTACGCGGACGCACATAAGCAGCATCGCAATGAGGGGGTCGTCGAATTCGCGTCTTACTCTGACATGAAAAATGCCATCGAGAAACTCGACGACACCGAGTTGAACGGCAGACGCATACGCCTAGTCGAGGACAAAAACACTAAACGCAGACGTTCCGGGTCCTACAGCAGCCGCAGCAGGTCACGCAGCCGTTCTGCCAGACGTTCTAGGTCTCGCAGCCGCTCCAGGCGAAGCTCCCACTCAAAGAGCAAGTCCAGGTCGAGATCTCGCTCGGGCAGCGCCAAGGCCGACCGAGACCGCGCCAGCAAATCTAAGTCTAGGTCCCGATCAAGGTCTAATTCTCGCAAGAAGTCTGTGGATCGTTCAAGGTCAAACTCTAGAAAGAAGTCGACCGAACGCTCTCGCTCGAGGTCGCGCTCTCGCACCCCGGATAAACGATCAAAGTCTCGCGAGGCGTCCAAGGAGAGGTCCAGGTCTAGATCACGTTCTGCCAGCAAGGGCCGGAGCAAGTCCAGGAGTCGGTCAGGATCAGCAAACTAAATTAAAACTTATCGCAAAACCAGGAGAACAGTTCTAGTGTGTATAATTTTAAGGAATTAGTAGTTGGTCTGTAACATAAATACCATTACGATGTTTTAATATTTAAACAAACTGTATGTTATTAAATATTTCATATATAAACTAGAGAAATTTTGGTTTCATTTATATATAAACTTAGTATTGTCGGTACTACGTAAAGGAAACGTTTATTTTCTAACAGACAATTTGAATATTTCCACTTATTTCACAGTACGTTTGTAAATTATTCTAGTAAATTAAATTACGTTTAGAGAATGCAGCACTTGAATTGCATCTGCACTTTGGCCGATACACTTCCTTAACCGAGCCCGATATGAGCCTTTTGGAATCTATCCGAGCCAAAAAAGAAGGATTAAAATCGACGG